CTTGACTTTTGTATGGATCGATGGAATATTGCGGTTAATATTTTAACCGAAATCGGTTTCTCTTGCGGATACAAGAGCCAGGATCGATCCATATTCTTCGCGTCCCAGAATGAACTTCAGCGCCGCCGACGAAGCGATCAGCTTCCTGCATGACTTCCACCGCGTTTTTGGAGGCCCCGCGGACTTCTCGCCTTATGACCCTGCGTACAAGACGTTCTTGCGGCAGTTGACGTTGGGCTGCTTTGCCATTGGTGTGCTCGTCATGTCGCTGCTGCTGTTGATTGTGGTTCGTCGCGTGATGGCATTGGGGGCAGGCACGCCAAGTCGCACCTCTCCCTCGTACGCCGCGTACACTCGCCTTCGACGCAATTGGAATCATCACGGCTCCAACGACATCTTTGCCGTGATCCTGCTCGGTTTCACTGCGCTGAGCGCGTTGGGAGGGCTGTTGGCCGAGGCCCAAGTGGACTACAGCGTGCATCGCGTGTCCCATAGCATGCACAACATGTCAAACACGTTTCATTCCATCCACGGTATCGGCGCCAACGTGTCGACCATCGCCCAAGGCATGCGAGCGAACACGGACGACATGCTGCTGACGTTCAAGGACACGTTACCTGCGAACGCGACCGACCTCGCGTTGGAAGCCATGAGGTACACACCCCTCCTTGTTGTTTCTCGATCGTTCGTAGTCTCTGTCGTCGTTTCGTTGCCTTTCTCATACATTCGTAGATTGGTGCACATTTCACATTCGTTGGCCAACTCGACGCACGGCCTGCCGTCCAACTTTTCGCACTTGGCAAACCAGTGGGAAGAGGAGTACTTCTGGATGAAGTCGTCGACGAACGGCATCATCTTGACCATGACGCTAGCGTGCTTCCTGGCGATTTCCGCGATTGGGTGGAGTATGTCGTCGGCGCTGCGCATGGCGGTGTTCCTCATTCTCGTGGTGATTCCATCCTCCCACGGGTTGTTTGGCATCTACTTGTCCAACTCGATCGAGTCGGCCGACTTCTGCGTGGCGCCCGCCGCCAACACGATGATGCTGTTCCACAACGATTCCGCGGTGCAGTACTTTGTCGAATGCCCCGCCAACACGACGCTGTTTGGGCCGACAATGTCCAACTTCCACGCGAGTGTGCATGATGCGTCGGCGATCGAAGAGTTGCTGCAGAAGTTTGCGACAACATTGCCTGAAGACACACGCAAGCGGCTGCAAGTCGGGTACTTGGACCCGATCGCCGACCAGTTGGCCGCGCTGGCCGCGCTCGAAGCGTCGTACTACTCGGTTTCTGCCTGTGCCCCCATGTCGCAGAACCACAAGGACGTGGTGCAGACGTGGTGCACGAACGGCATCCTGGGCATGTTTACGCTGTGGGTGCACCAAGTGGCGTTGTGTGCAATGCTGTTTTTGAGTGTGATTGCGCTTGTGACAGTGTTTGAGCAAGTCCGGGCCAAGGAAGAACGCGTCGAGATGCAGTACCATTTGCTCTCTACGTACGAAGAAGACAACATTGAGCACCTGTACATGAGCCCAGAATAGTCGGATGATATGACATTTGAGAAGAAGATGGAGATATGTTTGTGTTTTCAGACGGGATAAAGTAGAAGTATTCGATCGATGGGGTGAACGTTGTCACACATTTGGGTGGGCTTTGCCTCGGTGTAGTGGCAATAATAATAATAATGGCGTGGGGATATATAATACAACATGGACCAAGCGCCATAAAAGAGAGTACTTTAAAGTTAAAATGTTATAGAGTTGATATGGTGATGATACTGTATAGTATCATATACTATTATTAGTATAAACATCATGTGACGATGTACAGTACTGGGTATACATCCATCCATCATGCGACGATGTGCAGTACAGTAGTCCAGTACATATAACAAGTGATCGAAACTGGTTACTGGGATTTATTGGCCAATGTTTGGTTGGCTTTGGGCACGGTGAAGACGGGGATATTGAGCACAGTCTTGACTTCTCCGATCACTGTGATCACAATATGGACGTACGCAGCTAGCGCGATGTAGAAAAACTCTTGAAGGAGCAGCGTCTCGGTGCCGAGGCCCACCACGAGCGTGCCCTGGATATGGCCATACAAGTAGTGGCCGGCGACGAAGAAGACTGGCACGAGGGTCTTGCGGAAAGGATGGAACTCTTCTTCGCACAGGTGGGCTAGCATCAAGTGCAGCTACAACGCCACCGTCCAATGGTGACATATGTTTGCAGGTTACATATTGAAGTCGTACCAGCAGTTTGCTGTTGAGGAGCCCTGCCGTCCATAGAAACAGGCGCGGGTGGTGGCGAAGGATGTCCGACGGCGAGTAGAGCGCCCAGATGATGGCGAGGCCGTTGAACAAGGCAAATGGAATCAATCGCGTCATGGCGACGGCCACGGAGATGCGTTGCTTGCGCACTGTCTGCGACACGTTGACCACGCTGTCACAGGCCACGTCAGATATGCACTCTCAACCGTTTTTGATGTGCAAGACTACGTACTTGCCGAGGACCGTGATGGAGCTGGTCGCGAGCATTGTGAACAAGAACAACGTGTTGTTCTGAACCCCAGACACAAACGTGTCGTGGTGCCAGAAGCGCGTGCCCAAAGCGGCCGTGGCCAGCTTCAACACGACGGCAATTAGCACGCCTTCGGTCGGGCCGTTGATGATGGGCAGTTCCAGCGTCCCCGTGTAGTACTCTTCCCACGTGGCACCGATGAAGGCAAAGTTGATCCACAGCACCATGAGCACGCTCTTCCACCCGGCGCCGAATTGGGCCACCGCCGCCATGGTCATGCTGCCGATCGAGCAGTTGATGGCATCGCATCCGTGGTCGAACAGAAGACCCAGTGGGCTGGATGTGCCCGTGCGCCGCGCTTGCTTGCCGTCCAGGTTGTCCAGCGTCTGGTAGAAGAACAGCGCGACGGCGGAAAACAAGTACACCCACGCTGGCGCCTCGCCTTCGAAGTTGGGGCTGTATGATGCCACGATGATGTGCGACACAATCACTGCAATGAGACCCAGCAGCGTAATCTACGAGAAGACGCATATTTGAGATGTGGATCGAGTGGTATGGAGCGGTCTTACCGTGTTGGGCGCGAGCCACAGAGGAACAAACTGCATGAGGTAGTTGTTCATGGGAGTGAGCACGTGCTTGTAGATAAGCGAGTGGTCGATCCCTTTGTACGTGTACAGCTTCAAGTTCTTGGAGCCTTCCGGAGACACATACTTGCCAAAGTACATGTCCTTCTGCGGCGCGGCCGCCGCGGCGTCGGGAGATTGAGGACTCATCGACGAAGTGGTAGATTCTTGATTGGGATGGAGGTGCCCTTTTGTCTCTGTCACCTTGGAGTCGTCATTAATATCGACCGTATCCGGATAACGTTTTGGCGCCCCTTCTAATCCAATGGCTGGTTGGTACAGAGTATTGGCCAATCACATGCCAGAATTCACTTATCATCGCATTTTACGCGAATGCGGTGGGAACTTCAGCTAATAATTGCACCCGAGCAAATCAAGATGGATTTCCACCCCAGGCTCGCTCTAATAATAAGACTATTCGGAGCAAGTATTATTACCGCATACTACTGTAGTACTCTACTATTAATATTAATAACGTTAACGTTACTATGGTGCACGTCATCTAAAAACTTCTAACTGGCCAAATCGAAGAGTGGAGGTTCTATTATTTAACGTATAATTAATGTAGTTAAACCCAAAACCAAATACGTTAAATACGGATTTCATGCGTTTTATCACTGGAGTGGGAGGTTAAAGGTCCCAACTGCCTCCATATATTATATACCGATAAGAGTCACATCCAAAAATCAAGATACATCTCAGCAGCCTCCCCTATGGCCAACTATCCAAGCGCCCATGTAAAATACCGCTAGGTTAAATATCTACTAGTATTTCTGGACCAATGCATCACCAAATTTGAATCTGAGACGTAGAACTTCTTCACCACATTGAGATCTATCGATTCTACGTCTCGATTTGCTGAAATTTGGTTTGTTACCGGTAATGAATACTAAAAATATTAGTATGAATAGAAATCAGAAAATTTTGTGATAAGTTGGTAGATTATAGATGACACGCACCATATAATAGTACTGTATGTTATTCAGATGTATATTACTAGTATTACCGAATACAAGTACTCTACTATTAATATTAATACTATAATAAGACTGTATGTTAGTCAAGCGTCGTGGGGTTGTGACATATATGTACATCGCTGATTTCTATGCCTAAAACTGGGCCGTGGACCGAGCCAGCTGGTCGGCTTTATCGTTCCAAGTGGACTTCCAATCGCGTTGGTTTGTGTGGGCTTTCACATGTCGCCAAAGCACGCGCCTTCGTCCTCTGGTGTGGGTCAGTTGCTGGAGCAAGTCGACGTTCTTGACCCTAATCAATATCACACATCCATGTGTCATCACGTCAACAGGGTGGGAGGCTACATACATGGTCCCGTCGGCCTTTCGCCAGTTGTTATCGATCCACGTAGGCAACCATTCCGTCATGGATCGAATGAGCAGCATGCTGTCGGAGAAGATGAACAGCGGCTGGCTCTGGCTCGGGTCTTGGACGTTGGCTCGCTTGAGCGCTTCCAGGGCCGCCAAGTACTCTGCGCGATTGTTGGTGGCGGCCGCCTGCAATGACGGCAGCTTCTCCGCGACGTTCCACGACTCGTTGTGAGGAAACACGCAAGCGAACGCGGCTTTGCACGTGGCTTTGCCGTTGCCGATGGCACTTCCGTCGCAAAATGCCACAAGGGTCGATGAATCGAGTGGATCGGGGTCGGGGGTGCCGGGAAGAGAAGCGACGGCTTGGTGGGTGGCCATGTACGCCTCGGCCTCGGCGCGAGTCCAAAAAGACTTGTACTTGGCACTAACGAAATTATTGACGAGTGGCTCCACGTCTTTCCAAGTCGTGAAGATGCCGCTCACACCTTTGCGACCCTTGGCGACGGCATAGTACTTCATGGGGGGCTGCGTGGGGGGTACGCTGGGCGAAGAGGCGGCCGCCGACGCCGGTGGAACTAGCGTCGTTGACCAAGACGAAGATATCAAGGGAGATGGGGCAGGTGTAGATCCATGGAGTTGGGTCCAATACGCATCCGCCTCTTCTTTCGAGGGAAATTTCCGGAATTCAGGCGCCGCAAAGTTCAAAATCGCGCCTTCAACTTCACCCCACGAGGCAAACACGCCGGTCACATGACCCTTCGACACAACGTAGTGTGGTTGAGACACAATCCTAGCACCGCGGACAAGTATATGCGGCGGGACAGTCCGTTGGTGTATGGTTGGAGGGTGCCATTGGGCTTCCACGTCGTCGTCGTCGGCGGCGGGTCGGGCACGCTTACGAGTCACATTCTCAGCCTGGTTGAGAAAGCGTTGCGCTTCTGCTTCAGTGTTGAATTTCTTGAATATGGCCGCTGGGTACCCTGTCACCTCCTCCTTCGCACCCTGGGCCCATGACGTGAAGATGCCGCGCCTCCGCCCTGCCGCAACCGCGTAAAATGGCATCAAATGCTAGACGCAACAAGAATTCAAAGAAATGAATTTGTGATGTAACGTATACTTCAAATAAACGATTCATTTACTTTCTTTGCTGAATTCAAATAAATGAATTTGTCGATAAAAGGATAAATGATTCATTTACTTTCTTTAAATGATGATGACTTTCTACCGCACTAAACGGATAAATGATTCATTTACTTTCTTTACTACGAAGGTTGCAACTTCAATTTCTACGCGCACTACAGTATATATACTCCAAGGCAAAGTCGGAACGGTACGTAGTTGCCTCTTGCAACCAGGCAACACTATAAGCTTATACTAGTATACATATCCTAAACCGTCTATCGAGGACGTGAAAAAGCAGCATCAATGGTCATAAGTCGCTGGGGCTTGTCAGCGTGTGTTTGGGTGGCCTTCGGGGGTGGCGAAGGGTGCGTCGGCGTGGTACGGCACGGACATTCATCGTGCCGTCATCATGGGCGATCAATGCTCCATTTCCTTGGCATGGGCCATGCACCAGCCCTTCTTTTGTGCCCACTTCAAGCATTTGACCACTTTGCAACGCTCGCCACCGCCATGCATGCGGCACAGTTGCTTCAAATGGGCCTTCTTCTTACAGCCCCCGACAGCACAAAACTTGCCGCCGCCGTGGGATTTGCACAGTCCGCGGGATTGCGACGCGCGCTTGCATCCTTCAAACCTGCATCGAGAGCCGCCGCCGTGAGCAATGCACAACCCTCGACTTTGGCTGTTCTTGACACACCCTTCAAACGTGCATTGGCGAGCTCCGCCGTGTTTCTTGCATCGCTGGTGGGACCGCGCGCGATTCGAACACCCTGCTTGCAAACAAATCTTTCGTGTGGCCCCCGACGACGGCGAGAACGTCATGTCTGTCGCGTCGCTGGATGTGTATGGTTGCGCAGAAATGGTCAGTCGGCACACCAGGGGTTCGGATTTGACCGTTGGCTCTTGTTTGACCACGGGTTCGGGCAAGCATTTGGAGGTCGCTGGCCGTTGATGGTTGTGTGCATGCGCGGTCAAGCGGGGCGCCAACGGCATTCGCTTCTGTGTGTCTTTTTCGTCCTTCTTGCTGACGTCGTCGTCAAATATACACGGGAGTGGCGCGATCTGGCCCAATGCTCGCTTCTGGGTGATCATTTCCCAGTCATAGTTGTAGTATTGGTTGGGATACGGAGCGGACGGTCCTTGAAGGTGGCCAGATTGCACATTGTTCGTGTACGGCGACACATCGACGACCTGGGCGTTGACATTCACGACAGGGGCGCTGTTTTCATCGTAATCTGTCAGGTCGAGGTCGTCCAGCTCGAAGTTGAACGGGTCCATCTCCATGTCGAACAGGCCTTTCTCCATGAAGAAGGGTTGGTATTCATCGGACAAGGAGCCCGACGCGATGTGCAAGTTGGTGGGGACGTCCTTACTCTCGTCCTGGAAGGAGTCCATGCGCATGATTCGCGGGTCCAGCCGTGGCGGCGCACCTAACCGTGTCGGAACTGTGTCGATGCTCATCTTGCCTTCTGTCAAATCTGTAAATGTTCAGTGCAACTATATGTCGTGCGCCACCCAAACGACCGACATTCTGCGTTCTTCGTATGTATACATTCTTTCATATACGGTGCGTTGGAATTCCGATGCCCAACGGGACGATCGGTATAAAAGAATTTCTTTTATCCTTTAAAGAACATTTAAACTCGTTCGACACGAGTATTGGCAAATAAAACTGCTTTTGGACTGCCAAACTCGTCCACAAAAACGTTCTGGACATTCTGGAAGAGGACCAACATTCCAACTTGTTCTTCTAATAGCACGTGGCCTCAACTTGAAGTTTGTAAGCACGTGGGTTCGTTTGATAAAATAAAATAAATCACCGCACAACAATCACCTTGCCCCGAAAGTACAGTGATGGTCGTTCAACCAGCCACGTCACATGGATATGCAATCCGTTCCAGGTGGCAGCACAATGCGACTTTTCGCACGGGTTGGACAGTCTCAAGCGCGCTGCCACCGCTGGTCAATGTGAGGTAGTTGATTGATATGGCTTGTTATGGCCCAATCGTGGTTTTTGGTGCGTAGACATGTACAGATATACCGGTAGATGCACGAAATGGCGTGCGCATTACTGGATGAATGGAACTCTTCGTGTCCACACTCAATGGGGAGGCGGCAGTAGCTGGTAGGAAGGAGCTACTAGGATGTACTACCGGTATGTACCTGGGTGGGGTGGGGTACACACCTTATTCCCTGCGGCCCAACAGCGCGACATATCTGCATCGACGAGACTTCGGCGCATATTTGGTGCTGTCATGATTTGATTGGTCGGTGCAGAATGTATGTCTGACAATCAATCAGGCCATGCCAACGTTATCATCATGGGTCTACGGGGTCGACGATGTACTCGGCGGCAGATAGGTCCTTGGCTTCCCGGACCTGGCGCCGTAAGCGCATGACCACCACCACCATGACAAGGAAAATCACGGAGGCCACCACCACGGCAGCAATCGCCAGACTTCGCCACGAGCTGTTGACTTGAGATTCACTCGGTGGCTTCGTTGAGGCAGGCACGTCGGACGCCGCGCTGTCGGACGGGGTGCGCGGGACGATGGCCTTGCGCGGCGTGCCTTCGTACACGTCGTCAGTCGCCATCAGACGCTGGGCCAACGCCGTCGTGATCGCAAACGAGTTGGGCGTCAAGTACTCCAAGCACGACGTGTCCAATTTATCGAGACCGCCGGCCATGGCAAAGCTGCTCACAATCGACGCGCCGCACGGCACTTTATTCTACGTTGTCACGAACATACCCCAGCATCATGTTTCTTCCCACACCATCCATCCATCGGAACGACGCCATCTCTAGAGTTATACTAGTAGTACTAGCAGTAGTGCGTACCTGGACGGTCACGGGCGTGTTGAGGATCGTGCCGTGGGCAGACGTGGGGAACTCGATCAGTCGCTTGGCGGTCCCGACAAAGCTCGCCAGTTGGTACCTGGCAAACTTGGGGGGTGTCTGTGGATCCAAGAGGCCGCTTAGGAGCAGCACCGACGTGCCGTTCGGGATAGCTATCGCCACGTCAAAGTACTTGTCCGTGGGGTAGATGAACTGGAAGCCTGGTTTGGTTGAGGGTTTTTCCGATGCACATGCTGCGTCCTTGCCGTTGGACGCGAGGCAGTACATAGTCACCAACGAAGATGTGTCGGATGCGATGAGCGAGCTGGCGAAGCTAGCGCGGAGCGAGGGGCGGCTGGGGGCGGGGTACGTGAACAGCTCCGACAGCGCCACGAGGTTGTACAGCATGCTCGAGTCATACGCGTCCGACTCGTCGGGCGCGCCGATGCTATCGCCATCGTCTGTGACGCCGTGTGTTGCAAAGGAGGGAGAGTTCAGTTAGTGTATACGATTACATGTTGAGATACGCTGTGACAAAGTTGGCCACGGCGGTCGCATCGTTCGGGTTGCATCGGCTGAGGCGGTACACGAGCACCTAGACATACAACCCCACCGTTCGAGTTGTACGTGTTTATGTAGGCTACCACAGGTTAAAAAGGGGGGGGCGTACGGGAATAAAGTTGCGAATGGATTGGACTTGCAGGAGGTGCCCCAGGAGCTGGCGAAGGGTGTACGAAGGCGGGGTGAGGCTCCTGCCGCCCACAGACGTAAGGAATGAGCTACACGTCGTCCCCTTGGGCTTGCTATCCATGCTCGTGTAGAGCGCTTTCAGTGTCTCTTGGAGCGATGACGTGGCAAATTTGGGGCCGCACGTTGCGTCCTTGGCACACAACGCCATGAACGCAGTGCCGATTTCGTCCATATTGACCGCCCAATCGGCAAACGACAGCTACACCATCACCCGTCCATTCATTCCATCAACAACAACATCAACAGCTTAGAGTACCTTTTCGCCGCTTTGAGAGCCGCTTTGGGACACCACACCGTCCAATACGTAGCCTTTGACGTTGGGGTTGGCCAGTTGCATGAGACGCTGGACAAGGTACGTGCCGTAGCTGACGCCGTAGACTGTCGTGTGCGCGTTGGGGGTTGTGTTAAGGAGCGAGATGATCTTGGACAGGTCTGTGGCGGCACTGGTGGTCGAGTATGCCTTCAGTAGGTTCACTAGTCGTGTTGACTGTTGATACATACTGTACATATATGTGGACTGTGTTTGTACCGTCGGCGTCGTCGCCCAATTGCATGTTGACATCTTGAATGCAATCAGGAAAGCTTTGCGATGTGACGTGGCCTTTGGTGGGGCTACCGGATGTTTCTACCTGAGACGCGACGCAAGACAAGCGACTGCTTCGGCCGGTGCCGCGGTGGTCCATCGTGTACACGTCCACGGACCCGCCCAAGTACGACCCGGGGGCGTCGTACAAGGCGGCCATGATGCCTTCCACTAGTCAAGTCATGGATAAGGATGGATGGTCTCATGGAGGAGAGGGGGCTCGTACTGTTGACAGAAGACGCGCCAGGACCCCCTTGAAGCACCCAGAGCGACTTGGCGGCGGCGGTGTTGCGGCCTGGTGCGGCTCGCATGCGCTTGACAAATACTGTGATCGTGGCGTTCGACTCGCAAATGCCTTCGTGGCACAGCGGCATGGTGATCTCGGCACATTCGGCGGTAGGAGCTGCAGCGGCGGCGCCTAACGTAATGGACATGTCTGTGGCAGGATTGACGATCAGCGTTCGGAAGATCGCGTTCGCTGGGTCCTGGTCGTTCAGTCGCCAACCCCGAATGGTGGGAGATGCGTCGTCCGTGGCTTGACCTGTGGAGGACGTTGTTGTAGCTGGCGCTGGCGTGGCAAACGTTCGCAGATTACAGGGGTACCATCCGTTGATCTTTCGGGCACTGATGGTGTCGTGCAGACACGCCAAGGCGGCGGCCACAAGCATCCATTTCATCCTGGGACGATTTTGAAAGTACTCCGAGAGTACGACATTGCAAAAATTATTAACGTTAACAGTAAAAACCCAATCCATCACGTAAGTATTACTTACCTATGTTTACCTATGTACAGTTGTACACGGTACCGTATAGTGTATATGTATTGCGACAGGTGATATATTACAACCAGCTGACATTCAGTCTCAAAATTTTGTTAATCCATTGCGTCATACAAATTTAAAGTATATTCAACATGTTCACAAGTAAATATCAGTTATTACAAGAAAATTATCAGTTATTACAGAAGTCGCAATAGATTAATCCGTCGCAATATATATACACTTTACGGTACATAGTATTCATTATTTATCATTTGTATTAATATGATCCTGACCCGAAAACCATACGATGACATTAAAATATCTTGGAACAATGTACGTTCTGGTAACTATACCGGTATCTGGATATAATTCATCGAACCGTTACAATATATTCATCAAAGTATAAACAACTGATGGAGTAGCTGCGCCCAACAAAACCTGGACGCAGCTACTTCAAGTGTGTGTAGTATACCTAAACATAGCATAGCGCTTGAATAGTCTGGAGGGATTAGAAATCTTGTGAGATTTAGTTAATACCTATTCGACTGAATCTCCAAAATATTTCGTTTCGTGGTCTGGTCGTGTCTTCGCACTGGAATTACAGTAACTGTTCACACTGGATTTAACTCGAAAGTTGTTGCTCCAAAGGGTAGCATCGTTTGGAGGGCACTACTACTTACTGTACAGTGTTTGTACTGTACTACGTAATACTACTACTACATCAAATGTTGACAAGAAGTGTACACGCCAAAGTAGAACAAAACCAGAGTGTGTGCATTGCAGGATCTTTGCTAAATTGATAGATTTTAGGATGGAACGTTGTGGACCTCATGATGTCGGAGTCGAGTGCGTCTCAAAGATCGATCCACGCACGGGGCATGCTGGTGGTAGTTGTGGATAATGCTTAGCGGCCGCCGCTCGCCGCTCCTCCGGCCTTGCCGGCTCCCGCGCCGCGGTGGTTGCCTCCCTTGCCAGCATCTTGGTCCTTCCCTTTGCCCTTGGCGTGTACGCCCTTGTTACTTCCTGCTCCTTTTTGCGGTTGAGGCATGTTGAGGTGTTGGTGTCGAGTTGTAAATCGTCGAATGGCACTGGTTGCTTGTCAACCAGCCACGTACATGTATTTATAGCTTGGGGGTTCCATAACCGCCCCTTGCACATCCTTTTCGAGCCAATCAAACGCCACCGTTCCAAAGAAAGGCTGAAACTGCCGTGAAACCGCCCGAATATACCACGCAATTCACACATCTGAAATGTCTATGTCGCTGAATCCAGTAGGTGGATTCGAATGCTATTTGCACTACAACTGCACTACTATAGTAGGACATGCATCGGACTACTCCCAGCACGATTTAATTTGCAAATTCATATACCCCCGATCTCGACATTTATTCATGCGATCAATGTGCATATGGAACCGGTATTTCTTTTGCCGGCACGCCAACTAAGCTACACCTGGCTTGGCTTTCGCTGCAAAATGTAAATGTGCGGCTTCTGGACAATGGCCAACCGCCCAGCGTCCACACGATCAAAGGCGTCGACGGTGTCCACGACTTCAAACTCCTACAAGAAACACAACGTCTCTGATCATACAAGACAGTATCCACACCAACTAGTGCTTTTGTACTACTAGTATGTACTAGTATATACTAGTCGATACTACTAGTACACTGTTTACTACTTGTACCTGCTTCGAGGGATGCCACGGGTCCGCCGTCAACACATAGTCAACCGTTGCAAAGTCAGCAGACGCGTTCAAGCCCTCTGTTTTCAAATACCTGTCATATTTAATAAATTCAGATATATATTTCCCTGTAAGACAGATATTGATAGTCGTACGTCCAGGCGGGGTACTGCTCCCCAAACCGAGACACTCCAGTCATGGCCGACGCCACATCCAAGTGAACTGTCTTGGGTGTATGCTCGAAAGAAGCCCCCAGCTTGTGCAATCGGTGAAACGCTACACCACCTATATATATATATATTATAGTGATAGATAGTACACATTTAGTCAATATATATATATATATATATAATATTGGTACGGACCAGGGTAGTTGGCATGCGATGCCAATGAAAACACCACCGACCCAGCCAACGTGGCACACAGGCAGCCCAGTGCGAGCACCAGTGGCCAAAACGACTACGAATTTAAATATCATAAATACATCGGAAGCACATGCAACATAAATATTAATATATATATATATATTTGAACCCAAGTAAATGATAAAAAATCGTCAGCATATACAAAACCACGGAAGGATGTTAAATGTACCTACCTTGGTACGGTTGCGCCATAGTTTCGTTACTCCCTAACACACATGCATGTGATCGATGCAACGGTCAATATATAAATATATATATATATATATATCAAATAGAAATCATAATATCTTACCACGGCAGCGACGAAATTCAAGATTGGGACTGCGTTCAGGACAAATCGAAGCTCTTTGTGCGGCAGAAACGAAAACAGAAACACGTACACGAGTACCTAGTAGTACTCGTCCCAGTCAATATCACGGGTACTAACTACTACTAGTATAAACCACGAGTTCAGCAATCTAATACTACCTCCGACGGATAAATGTTTGATAGATTTACCAATTACGTGTAATTTTTATCCGTACATAATGGTATATAATCGTTTACTGTACCACAATATTTTCATCTAAATCTCTGTAGTACATGAATACTTTGGCTACAAATCAGATATATAGATATATAAATTAGGAGGAAATAATACAGGGGAAATGATCATCATTCCTGACACTTTTCGTCCTGTAACTTCAAAGGTATTCTAATTACGGCAAAGAGTCAAATCAGATTTCGGATGAAAATATTTATTTGAAAGTATCCCAAAGTCCAGTCAATAACCTATTTTGGCCGAGGTATACTCGTTCAATGCAAGAAAGAGGACCAAACGCATCAATCATTTCCGTACAGAGGTAGCACTACTACTGTACTACTACTAATGAACACTCATAGTACCGGTATAAAGTACTGACACGTGGGCCCGTCGACAAAGGTCGTGGTGCGCAGCGCTTCGAACATTCCGCGAACGTTCTTGGAGCCACTCAGCACCGTGCCCAAGGACCTACTTTAGCCATGAGAAGACCAAGTTTGAATGCATACAGTCGGCGTACGTAGCTCCAAGCGGCACTAACAATGCTGTGGCCAACATAATGCGAGGAAGGGCCGAGGCAAAATACCAATGAAACGGGTACGTTCCCCATTCGTGGCTCTTGTTTAGGACCGTGTTGAACCACAGCACTTCCCCTTCGGGCCACAACCAGCGCTGCCTAGCGATGGGATCATTGGGAAAATCACAAATATCCTTGACAAGGGATTTGAATTCCCACCAGAAATACGAATCCACGAGAATTGTAGTCGCCAAGGCTATGATCGTTGAGAGGATGCCGGATGCGATGGTCGCCAGCAACGAAATCTACTCGTACATATGAGAGCTAGCCGCCTGCGATGACGTGCATATGAACCTGTCGCATGGCCAGCATTGTGATGAGAATTGGGGCGAATAGCACGGCCGTATCGCCACGGAAGACGATGGTGGAGAAGCTAAGCAGGGAAATCACGACTTTCGGGCGGTTCTAGCATGACAAGTGATTTGGAATGTTCATTTAGAGCTAGCTGCACATAGATGGTCGTGATGTACTGTATGTAGTATGTATGTACGTGTACACCTACCTGCATCCAAAAGCTGTACGCGAGCATCACGAGCATCTACAAGGCGTGGTTAGGACGCACATAGATAGAGGCGGCAGCGGTACGACGAACCAATGCAAATACGTTGGGCAAGGTCCGACCCATGTAAAAGACCACGTGAAACTGGACAATCGACACCACGGTGAACCACACGCTCGTGTCTCGGCCATGGAGCGCCGAGATCGTTCGCTTGAGGTAGAGCCACGCGAGAAACGAAAGCGTCCAGAGGGACGAACGGACACAGATCTGCATCACAGGCTTGGACGGATGAAAGACGTGCAGAATTGGACTTGACAGCAACGCCACAGGAAGGGCGCCGAGGAACGTACGTGGCACCACGCCGGGGAACTCAAAGTGGTCGTACTTGGTGAGATTCACGCCATGGTACAGCAAGTCATGACACGCTTGCAAATTGAACGATTCCTCAACTTTGGCGTACGGAGTGAACCAAACTTGGAACAGTCCGACCGCATACAGCACGATGCTCTCCATGGTGCTACAGATGATGTGTCAAAATCACGGGTGAATCAACGTCTATGATTGGGTAATTAATTACTTATCTTTCAACGAATGAAATGTTCCATTTGACTTTTAGTCGCTTTGGATTGGGTAGACATTTGACATTTCAACCAATCAAACTGTTTATATGAATCTTTTTGTCGGTCCAAATTTGCTCAATTTTCGAAGGCATATTCGATTTGCAGCGCGAAAATGTCCTTTTACCCAAAATTTGGACTTTTGTGCTGAATCTTTGCCAAATCTATCGATCAATTCTTTGTACTGAAGTTTGTATGTAAAAAGGTGTCTTGTGGTGATTGGAATCACACTAATTGAAGTCATGCACTAATTTGACGTTGGTGATGGTTTCCTGCAATCTGATTGGCTGAAACCTTCTGCATCCGTCCGCCATTGTTGACATGAATAAGTAAGAGCCTTCAAGCTGGACCCGCCAGCACCACCATATATAATTAGTACACACTCGACCAGTAAGTGGGGGGTGCCACGACCGTATTTTGGTACTAATTACCTGCCCACGGAAGCACATCCATTTGATGCTGCTCACCATAATCGATTGATGTAGCTACAGTCAAAATACTTGAAATCCTTTGGAACATTTAAAAATATATCGTTTAGGGTACGTCTGGTAACATTTCAAAAATATTATTCCATTTTCTCGCAAAATGGGATCAACCAAAATGCCATTTTCAAAATGGAGGTAAAAGGTCCATTTTGTAATGTGGCGTTTTGGACCTTTTCAACGAGTAAATCCCACGTGGAATTATTGGATTTGGGTTAAAACTCTGCAAGCAAGACATGTTTCAATTTTGATCAGATTTGTTGAATTCGGCCCCAAAATGGCGTTTTGGGCCTGAAAATTGCAATATTTCAGGTTGCCAGACGACCCCTTATTGCTTTAATTGTTTTGAATGTATTTCAAACATACCCAAGTTTCTAAACTTCTCTTATCGAGAATTTTTTAGTAGTAGTACTTTAGGAGTAGTAATACTATATGAATAATATATAATTGCATCATCACATGAATCCGGTCATTGTTTCATTGCCTAGTAGGCGTTTGAACGAGCCAATGGTGTTTTTTATCATGTAATACTAGTATATATATATATCGTTATGTTTTAAGACTTTGTTCTGGGGTTGTTGGAGAGTTGCTTGGCCAAGGCAGCAACGTTCGCGGGGCCGCCCCAGAGTTGCTGAAACACGGCATGTTCCGTCGACAACATCCGCAGCAACGACGAGTCGTCCCCGTGAGACAGTACGCGCTTGATCCCTTGCAGCACATCTACCAGCCATGATGACCATCTTCATATGAACAAGATGTACCTGGGGCATGGGCATTCAGCGGCCGGACGAATGAGACCGCGCCAGCGTCGACAGCGTTGTCCTCCACCACCGCATCGGCCAGCCCTAGCACCTCTGCGTCCGCGGCCGCCACCTTCTCCGTCCGTCCGAGCAGACGAAGCGCGCGCTGCCGCCCCACGAGCTGCACCAGTCGCGCCCCGCCGCCCCATCCTGCCACGTCATATCGGAAACACGCATATACTACAAGATGAAGGAAACAACGTGCCTGGAGAGACCCCCATGCGACCATGGACAAACTGAATGGACGCAGAACGCGCGAGGACGCGAAAGTCGCATGCGGTCGTGATCTCCGCGCCGCCTCCGATCGCCGCGCCTTCAACCACGGCCACACTTGGGAATGGCAACCGACGCAGACGGGTCAATGCATGTGTCATGACTCGACTCATTGTCGCGCCGCCTTCGGGGGAACTTAAATGGTCCTTGGCGACGCGGAGGTCGGCACCCGCACAGAAATGCCCGCCGCTGCCACGAACAATCACACAACATAGCGAAGACGCATGCTCTTCCAATTGATCCACGGCATCGATGAGCTCAGCCATCATCTTACCACTCATCGCGTTGCGGGCCGATGGATTGATGAGCTCCAACACCGCCGTCCGGGACAGCGACGCCGCGTACGACGGCGTCCGGATGTCACCAGGGAGATAGAGCGTCACGTGGTCGTCATCTCGGCCAAGCTGTCGAAGGTACGAGATGTCGTCTGGTCGACTGCGCACGGTGAAGCATCGAGCACGTGGCCACGTGTGGGCGATTCGTCGACAAAGCAACATGCCAAGCAGGCGGCGGCAGCGTATCCAAAATGCAGATTGTTGATGTTGTCAAATGAAAAATCGGAGATTCGTCCAATCGAATTGAATGAAATCCCATTTTATGACGAATCAAATTGCTTTATAATCAAAAAGGAGGATAATTTTAGCGAATCAATCGAGTTCCCGTATCCGGATAATGCAAGTTTTTCCGGATGCATGATGATGGAATTCCGAGTTTGAGTGGACCTGCCGCACATATTCTGTCCATGGCGCCGCCGTCCAACCCGTTTGTGGATGGTCCGCCGCTGAAGATTCGCAATGTGACCGTCCGTGGCAACAAGCGAACGAGGTAGATGGTACTGCCTATGATAGCAATGGAACTCAGCACGCCTTACTGTAGCCCGACCCTGTTCGACAATGAACTCCAGGTAAGTTGACATTCGTGATCGGTCCAAGTTCTTACAAGACTCGTTCTTTAGAGTGCCTACTCTGCCACGACGTTTGGCGGTGTGATGGAGTCTCTCAATGCAGCCGCACTGGTGCGTATGTCGTAGCTACATCCGTGGCACGTCAATACCCCGTAGGAACTACGCGCGTTTGGGATATTCGATTCGGTGGACATCTTGTTGGAGAAAACTGCCGACGGTACCCGCAACGAGACGGATGTCGTGATCACGGTCAAGGAATCGCGCATGCTGTCGTTGTACGCTGGTGTCGAGTCGTCCGGCGCCGAAGGCACTGCGGTATCGTCCATCCATGATCGTCTATCCATGAGCTCTCATCCTCGTTGCATTAGAACACCAAGTGCACGCTCACAAACCCGTTGGGTCATGCCGAGAAGATCGAATTGAGCGCCGCGCACGGGCAATACGGCAGCGATGGGCAGAACTTTTCATACCGGCGACCAAAGTTCCTCGGCCGTCCTTGGTGGTTTACCGCGTCTGCCGCCAACGAAGTGCAGGTTTGTTCATCTATTTTCGCCTTCATCTATTCCAGTGTTCATCGTCCAGTAGGTGCATGAGCGCTTTAGCTCGTTCCGTGAAAAATTCCGCGGTGGAACCGTGTCTGTCAGCGACTACAACGGTGTCCACGATGTAAGACACCATGACCTCTTTATAATATTTATCATTTATAATCTATTTGAATCGGATAAATAAATATATATTTTATCTTTATGTATAAATCTGAAGTGATTTATGTTAAATTATTGTGGTGTTCTACTCAAAATACATTTCCTCCGTTGGCGATTGGTTGAATCAACCGCCGAACAATCGCCAGACCTTCGAAATTTTATATAAAACTCAGTTGAAGAGGTACTATATTTGTGTGACTGCAATGATGCGTCAATCAATCTTTTTAGCCAATCATATCCAAACCTTCATTATTTATAGCCAATCATACTCCTTTGCTCGATTAGTTGGCGATTTCATCAATCCCCCAAAACAGGCAAATTTATCTGAAAAGCACTATACTTGACCGGATATTGGACCATTTTTGATAACGAATTGAACAAACTCATATAAACACCGACTTTTGTCTTGAGTTGCCATAGTTATGTATATTTGTTCATAGAAGAAATGATATATTTTTATGATATATATTGATAAAATCTGAAACTATATCTTTTAAAGTACTTGAAGAAGGGGTATTTGACCTTTTTCATAAGGAGCTGGAAAATATCTAATATAAACGACGACTTTTGTCTCGAGTAGCTGGCTTTCAACCTAGGATGGCGCGACATAGTACCCGTCCGGAACAAGAAAATCCCCAACACTTATGCCGCTTCACCAAGGTATCTCTTTGTGTTTTATCCTCAAATATATATATATAATATATATGACATGGTGGTAGCATCATGGCGGAAGCAGTGCCGTCGACCAAGAGCAGTGTCAAGGTAACAACATCACCCCCTCGATCTATCCTAACCACGCATCAAGCCACGAACGATATTGTCGTTTTTCCCAAAATTTTGGACTTTTGTGCTGATTTTTCGCCAATCGATCGATCGATTCGTTGTCCTGATGCTTTTGTATGTCAAGATTGTCCAGTATCACACTAATTTCAGTCACACACTAATTCGATGTTGAATTTGTTGCATTGGTCAAAGGGTGGTTTTGATTGGGTACTTGATTCGTGTGTTGGGTTTTGATTGGCCGATATATCGATTGTCTGCCGATTTTTTGGGTATTCTGCTCATTCGATTGAGCACCACACTATTTGATTGGCCTCTTATCCTATTTGTCCTACACTACTATATAGTACACGTACAACGACGACCAGCGCAACGATCCGACGCTTCCGACGTCTGGCCGCCTCCTTCGCGCCAGGTGTGGCATGAGATAGATTCCCATCATCTGGTTGTGATATTGCGGTCGCTTGTGCAGTGCCGAAGTAGCTGGGCTATGGGGCGACGTTCAGTTTGTCAAAGGGGAAGCCGAAGTCCAGCACAACATCCCCATCGGCCCCGTGGCATTCCACCATCCCATTTTCAACATCATGCTGTCGTCGCGGGTCGGCGCCGTCCACTCGTACGGCACCGATAAACTCCGTCCAGCGCGGATCTCGGACCGATTCTTCTTGGGCGGCCCGCTCTCTCTGCGCGGGTTCAACCACAAGGTCCGCCTGTCGTTTGCATCTCGTTGTGGGCCAATCTGCATGTGTTGTCTTCAAGTGTTTGCCCTCATGTGCTGAATGTGTAGGGCGTGGGGCCCCGTGCAAACCCAGATGACGGCGGGGTCAAAACGGGGGATGCGCTCGGCGGCGAAGTGTTTTACAGCGTCGGTGCCAGCTTGGGCTTTCCGTTTCCCCTCCCCCTCTTGGCGGTACACTAGCATCTCGGTGTGATGATGATCATGATGATATATATATATATATATATATATATATATATTGGGTGTTTTGGACCACACTGAACGTTGTGTGGAAAAATAGAATGTCCAGTGGTGATGGGATTCACACTAATTTCAGGCACACACTAATTTGATGTTGTGATGGTTGTTTCGTGCGACATGTGATTGGCTACAAAAAGTCCTTTGTCGCCGATGATTTTTGTGTACATTGATTTGGTTATGTCGATTCTTTATTCTCCATATCGATCCAGTTTACAATAATATCAATAATATCATCATAGTTGCTCGGGGTGCGAGGCCACGTGTTTGCAAATGCCGGTAGCCTCCTGGCGTGGAACCGTATCTTGGACGAAAAGGCCTGGATCAAGAACATCCTCGACGACTCGCGCGCCGCCGCGGGGGTCGGCGTCGTGATCGCCACGCGGTTTGGCCGCCTCGAAGCCAATTATTCGTGGGTGCTCAAGGCTCTGCCGGGGGTATGTTGTTTACTATTCAATCATACTCCGACTCGGACTTATATATATATATCATACTCCTACTCGGACTTATATATATATATAACGTCTATCGTTTTTTGTAGGATCGTGTCAAGCGAGCTCAAATTGGACTCGGTTTACATTTCATTTAGAGCGATAAACCACATTCGACCATATCACGACCAATGTGAAATACGAATGGCTATAATGATTCAAATACAAAAAAGTCGATGGAATTATTGTCTTGGAGCGATGGGCTTATCCTTTTTGCTTGCTGCTTTGAAGAGGACCATCCATAGATACCATTTCCCACACCTTTTTCCGCCATAGCCGACTGGTCTTAGAGCAGCCGATCGTAGCTGCGGCGTCGGGCGTAGCGTTCGCGCACCCGCTGGCCCCACACCCCGACCGCCACCCCCGCCACAACTAGCGCCAACGAGTGCCACACACCTCCATTTCCTCCGTCCAGCGGATCCGCAAAGGATGTCGCCAACACCGTCGGCATTTCGGCCACCGGCGGACGGAACGTCTTGCCCGGCCAGTTGTTGAACTCGGTCTGACGCAGCCACGCCGCGGGGTACCCCGGGATCTGCATCTGCCCCGCGCCTTCGCCGGTGGTGACGAAGCCGTCGGTGAATTTGCTCACGAGGCGCCACGCCAGTGCCCACCACGCATCAAACACTTGGTCTGCAAACAGGTTGTTGGCAGCTTGGAGCTGAGATGCATTGACTGCTGGTTGCCGTCGCCACTGCAGCTGCTGGTCCATGGCGCGGGCCTGCCACACCGCCGCTTCGGCGCGCACGTCGGCGTTGATCTGGTTGAACCGCAGGAGGCTCCAGTTGTTGACGAAATCAAACACCCTGATATGAACCAACCGCCCACTCACTGTAAGAGGGAGGAAGACATGGATAGATGGAGCACGTACCACCACGACGACTGGGGATGAAACTCGCTCTGCTTTCCGACCAAGTACGACGTGGGAATGGCCGTCTGTCGGCATGAGAATGGGACGTACACAGTGCCGTGGGGCGTTCCCTGGCCAAACCAAACGGTGCCCCCAACATGATCGGATACGTTTCCTACCAGGGAAAGCAAGAGTACATAGGTAGACATGGTAGTTATATATGGACAATTGTGATCCGTACGGTACCTACCGTTGGATTGCAACACATAGCTAAACATGGTGCGGTACATGGAGATGGACCTCTCCCACCCCCCCGTCACGCCACCCGACGGTCCGTCAAAGCTACCGCCATATACAAGTCAGTCGGCCACTGGTGACAACAGCTACAGACGTACCGAGTAGGGTTTCCAAATGGCCCTGCCGCCAGTCCCTGGGTCATGTCGAACGCCGTGCCTTCATAGTGGTCTTTAAGCAGCTCAAACACGCTGTGCAGTGTCACAGGGGCGTCCACGGGCACCGAAAACGGGTACGTGGGCAGCGTGGATTGGCCCAACGTCGCATTCAACCTCAGCGATGGCGCAAACCAGTCCAGTATACGCCACACCCGGCGGCCCACGTACAGCGGACCAATGGGCCCTAGAACAGTCCAGACGACATATATTTCGGCATGCGGCTGGGATATATTTCTGCACAAGGGGGGCTGTGAGAGTACGTACCTGGGGTGTGGTAGTTGTACGCAGCGGTAAAATCAAACGGGCCTGCCGACGGGTCCCACCACCCCATCGACTGCGCAAATGAGTGGACGTTGGGCGACGCCAAGTAGTTGTCCGAGTTGGTCAAGTTGAGCTCGCGGATGATAAACCCGTTGGCCACCGCCGCCACGTGTCCCTGCGGCACGCGCTGCGCCGCCCACACGGCGCTGGCGTTCTTTGGCCCTGGGTGAAAGCAGCATCATATTGACATGCTGTCGGGTGGTTGGAAGAGGCTTACTACCTGTTAACACGTGGAATATCCATGTTTCGCCGTACTTGTCGGAAATGGCAAGCGCTTCGGCCGAGTCGCCATACCCTGGAGTTAAAGGTGACCCGCTGTCTTCGCTGTAAAACCCATACTTGACAGCTGCGTCCCCCTAGCCAAATGATATGACCCTGAAGTACTACGAGTAGTATCTGTACCATTGTGTGGATGGCACATCGGGCACTGTCGCACCGCTCCAACGCGAGTTTGGTGAGCTCGGCAATGCCAAACATGTTGTAGCCATACGGTACGTCGGTGGGCCACCCCACCTACAACCACCGCCCAATCAATGCCGTCAAGACCATCTTGCATGCTGCATTATTCACGCACGGTCTTGGCGGCGCACGTGCTTTCCGCGATGCTCAGTTGCACTTCGTTCATGATGCCGTAATCCTGGTCAAAGTACGCATACGTATGCTGGACTTGCGGAATGTACCCCAGAGGTTCCGTCAAGTTTTCGCCGACTTTTGGCATGTAGTCGGGGCCCCGTTGCATGGTTGTTACACGGGGGTAGCCAGGATTGAAGTCGTACACGGCGCGCTCAGACCCGTGGTCGTAGTCAGCCGCGGGCACAAACACCAGTCGCAAGTCGGCCGCGCCGAAACCTGCGTCGTCCGTGTGCGCAGTCAGCGGTGTCTTGTCGGCGGACGCTTCCTTCGTCACGGCCACGATCGTGCATGCCTGCGCGACGGACAACGCGGCGATGGCCGCCACAATCGCGTGGCAAGTCACCATCCTTTTTCGAAAATGAAGAACCGTCGAGGTGTAGTTGAAGAAGCCAGATGATAGGTATAGGATTATGCAGGATGTCGTTTCAACCAGGGTTTGTGAAACGATCTTGATAGTAAGCGATACAAAGGGCACATGTATTGTGGCAAGGTATGCATTCATAGGTTACCAATGAAATCAAACACTGCAGTCGGGTCACATGCATGTCAAAAAAAATCCAAAACCGCCGAATAGATACTATTTTGATGATGATATATTGCCCCAGATCAGAGAAACATACTACAGTATCTCATACAACCAAAGATCGTCGAATGTCCTTTGGGATGCAAGTTGTCGATGGGCGTCCTTAGGGGCTCTCGTACTAGTAGATAAATATGACCACATACTACCAATATAGTTCGTTGAGTTTTGCCGACAATTCATCGTTTTGGCTGATGTAATCACTGTGACGGGTCAATCTACATTAAATTTGTAACACTGTACCGTTAGCAGTAGATTGTTCACTTTTTGATATACTCATGTAGTCGATGCCTTTTGATGTTTTCAGAGTGGACGAATTAATACTAACATGTGGAGCTCGTCGATGTCTGGTGAGTAGGCTTTCGTAAAACTACGATCCATTCAACTTTAGATGGCTCTTGCTCTAGAAATGTACTGTACTGTATGGTGGCACTACCGTATTCTCACGGCTGTGAAATGCCCCTATCTCTCATGATCAAGATACTCACGAGTTTGAAATGTCCCAACTTGAACTTCCTGTCAAGATACTATATCAAATTTGCACAGGTTCCTTCATGACCATCTATGTTTCTTCGAGCAATTAATACTATCAAACCTCAAATAGTATGAATTGAAAGAGGTGTTCTCATACATGCATGCATGCATGCATACCCAAGCAAGGATCGATGGTTAGTGTACAAAGTTTAAATCGTTTAATCTACATTGGAGCAACTTGACGTGCAATGGTGTGTCTATCATGAGTTTCGCAGCAACGACGGCCTTAACATTTGGAGTCGACGAAGAATTCCATGAGGATCGCCACATCTTCGTTCGACCACGTCGGGTAGTCTTCCTGAAAGTACAGGTCCATATCTTCCAAAGGAGCCAAGTAGTTGTCGTCCACGGGCGACGCGGTCGCATGTGCAAACGCCGAGTGGTCGTGGAGTGCGAACGACGGCTCGAGGATTGCGCATTCAGAGTCCGACGATCGGCAGGCCACATGCAGCGCAGATGCCATCGGCGACGACGCCGTTCGAGGAGACATGCCGCCCACATCTTCGGCACAGCCGCCTTTGCGCCGTTTCGTGTCTGCTTTGCGCTGATTTCGGTTGTGTCGGACGCGGTGTTCTTCGCACAGCGAGTGGATTTCCTCACCGTTGTACTTGAGGGTGCGCTCGTTCGGGCACCGCCCAGACTTGTACTTGCATCGGCCACGGTAGCCCACTTGGGAGCTCAATCGAGCTGTGCTTGGGGTGGACGTGGCCGTCTGTGCAGGCTTGGGATACTGGTACATGTTGGTTTGATATGTGTATGAGAAATTCCAAACTGACGCCCTTGACATGCAAGATTGCAATGAACATCTTTGAAACCGTCGGGATGGCTGGCTCGTCGTCGTCGTCTGCCATTGGTGCAACCATCGTCTTTATTGTTCGATGAACTTTCCCTCGCAACTCGGTTCAGAACAATTGCCCATATTTGCGTTTCAGATGAGAACGCCCCTCGCATATTCATGCACGCGTTCGTCCTAGCCGGGTGACTTTCTTCGTCGTCCACAGGGCTATTCGGGTTGTTGTACGTATGACCTTGAATCGGTAATCATCAGGCATGTTATAAATAATCTAATCGTCGCGAAGTTGCTGCGTGTGGGGGTTGTGGTCACTTGCGCCAAGCGTTTCATATCATACCAATCGCTTCTGAAAACGACGTGGTACCTGTGATGGACGACATATACTTGTCGATTGCAGCCGAGGGCATACCATTGTTATCAAGTTGGTTTTGATGTGGCCGACTTGTCCAGTAGTCACCTGCAATCGTACTTGGGGGATGCCGTGTATCTCACTCACTCTTGTAGAATCTATGGCAAAGGCATGTGTTTCGAATCTTTGCGTTGAAGAAGGGGAATTGCGCTTGCATAACCATGAAGTGTGGAAGGCCATTGATCCCCACCACCCTCCCGCCTCAACTGTTGACATCACAAAATATCACGTCCCAAAGTTACAGTACATCTGAAATATTTCGTAAATTTTGGATTGTCGCACTCTTCCCAATCGACAGAATTTCGGAGTACATCTCTCAACTGTCTCTTTACACGCCATGGTGCTCCTGGTTACTTGTGGGTATCCCCCGCATTAGGGATAAACTCTTGCGCAGCGACAACGGTTTCGTGGAGTCGTTGGTAGCTGGTGGTTTGGCTACAAATGGTGGCTGGCTTTGCAGATGGCGATGATGTCGTTGCATATCGCCGAGGAGCAGCAGTTCGTGGGCTCGCATGGCTGTGGCTTTGGTCACGCGTCCGCCAAACGTGCGGACCGCCACCATCTTTTTCACTGGCGACGACGCTACTGCCATCTCTTCGCATGCGTGCGGGTGGGCGTGGCGATGGCACGTCTTGCACATCCGCTCGAAGCGCTTCACGAGGCGCACGGGCGGTAGGGTTTGAATTGTTTCGGGAGGGTTAGCCGTGGCCGCGGGTACCGTGTAAGGCTTCTTCGCGGGGGGGCGGATGGGAACCCGACCGCTGGACCTCTGCTTGCGCTCCAATAGGGCCCGTTGCCTCGCAAGGAACTTTCGGACCCAGCGTCCCAAGCGGGTGGCGGCTACGTTTTTGGCCTCTCGACATCGAAGTACCCATCCTTGCACGATGGTGGCGATGATCTTACTCGCATGAGTCTTTCGGGCTAGCAGAGACTGCCGTCTTGCGATACATTGCTGATTTCCGGCATGAAGGACACGCTGAACCACTCGCTCTCGGCGGAAGCGCCACGCCCACACTTGCCGAAAGATTCGCATACCAGCAACTTGACGGCGTAGCAGACATACGCGGTGTCGCCGCATGTTTCGCTGGATACAATTCGCCGCGACTTGTCGTTGCAGGACAACCCGACCGAGAAAACTACGAAACCGACGTTGGATGCTGCGACAGCTAGCGTCTAGCAGTCGCTGCCATCGTCGGTCGCTGGCCACGTCCTTGGCACGTCGGATGGCCAAGTGTCTGCCCCTCCACGCCTCCACGACCGCAACTGCCGCACGCTGATTTCGTACGTGGCGCCACCTCCGGTACATGCGTAGAATGCACTGCATGGCGTCAATCTGCTGACGACGGTGTTCCTTGTAGGTCGCCACCGCGCGCTGTTTTCGCGTCCACGTCTGCAGTGTTGTGGCCGCTGCACTTTGCACTTTGTCGAGACGATAGCGGCGGAAAACGTGCTGGATGTGGATGACAGAGTTGTTTATGCATATGTGGCGCCTTCGAACGAGGAACCCTCGGACGAGCGCTTGGGCCATCGTGGCCACCGAAGCTTCCAGCTCTGTGAGCCGCCGATGGGTTTCTTTCGCAAGGGTGTACCGCGGCCAAGACACCCGCAGCCATGAGGCTACTCGATAACGCGCCATGTGGCGTCGTGCAATGTCCAAGGCATGCTGTTGCACGACCTCTCGTTGCAATCGTTGGACCAACAGCCGAAATCGGCGCAGAAGCACATGTCGGAGCACCAATCGACGAACGACGTCGAGCGCGTATCCTTGGATGGCCTGCTGGGCGACGCGGTCGGCAGCCACTCGTGTGTGTTCCAGTCGAAGGCGAGACCGACGACGGAGTGCCCACCGTCGGGCTCGGAACGCGCGCTGCACTCGGGTGGAGGCGGCGGTGACTCGAATCACTTCGGCAGCTTGGTTGATTCGTTTCAGCTTTTGCTTGCTCTGTTGAAATATCTATGACAACGAGGTAAGACCAGGACGGGTAAGCGAGTAAGAGGGCACGCACGTACGGTATCTTGGAGCCAATCCAAGTGCGAGCGCATGTCGATGCCTGTAGTGGCTTCGACTTGGCCTTGGATGTCGGGCAGGGACGAGTACTTTTCTTGGTCGAGAATCGTTGAAATGAGGTCCCGCACTGTCTCTTGGACATTGTTCGTCCATTCCTCGCGCTTGACAGCGTCCGCATTCTGGCTCAAGATGGATAGCACTTGGGCTGGTGGTAGTTGGGTGTGTAGAGGTCGTTGGTTCAGTCCTTTGTGGTGCCGTTGGGGATGATGCAAATGGGCGCTTGGGTTCTTTCCATCCACGACCATGAGCCCTAGGTGATTGCGTTAGGGTTACGAAGCTGTTGCAGTTGGAGATCGTACGCTGGAAGTCGTCAGCGGAAATGAGGCCCATTTCAAGAAGCCGATTCATTTCTACATGGCCGCAGCCACAACATCGTCATTGCATCATTTCCGTCCTGACCATCGTACCATCCAGTACAAACTCAAGGCCGTACTCGTCCCTTCGGCTCCTAATCCCCTAGTCAGACACCGAGACAGAAGGGCGGCGTTGGGTACCTACCATAGCTCCTGCAGCGCCACGTTTTGCTCAATGACGTCCATGGGCAATCAACTACCCGCGAATCCAACTACGACGAGGGATATGTTGACGGCATGAGCTATTCCAGGACGTCAAGTGAAACCGAATGTAACGTAACCGTTTATTTCAAGTTGCAGATACTCACCGCCTTGGAGATGGGCGTGGTGGTGGCGCCGTTGGACGAGTCCAGACCGCTGCCCCCGAGACCCCGATCGAATGGCATGTGGTTGCTGCGTCACCAAATGTTCAAGCTATTCGACAAATGCAGCCAAGTCATGCGTACGTTGGATATGATTGTCCTTACCTCGCTCTGGATATGAAAAAGCTAACTTAACACGTGCCTCAAGTCAAACAACTGGGCAACCGCGACATGGATATTGACATTTTCCACACGTTGGTCAAAAGGAGTACGACGATGATCCACCCCAACTCCAACTTTCGACGACTATGGGATGTCTGGACCGCGCTGAACGTGGTCATCGTGTGCACGATCGTAAGCACAAACATACGTTCCTTACATATGAGCCATCATCCCCCGCCCCTTCGCCTTGCTCATGTATACAATCGTAGATGCCGCTGGAACTTGCGTTCGACCATTACATGGAGGCGCAGTCGTGGACAGAGCCCCTGGAACTGTTTATGGATGTGTATTTTGTCCTCGGTACGAAGGTTGCCAGATCGAGTTTACGTCATGGATGTATCGATCTGTAGCCGTCATCATGGGTTCTCACTTCCACATGTGTAGACATGCTACTGAGTTTCCGCACGGGGTACATAGAGAGTGGCGAGATCGTGATGGACCCAAAGGAAGTGTCCCATCACTACATGTGGTCGTGGTTCGTTGTGGACATTGTGTCCAACTTTCCGTTTCGGTTTGTGCTCACGTCGACAGCCAATCCCAAGTCGGTCAAGTTTCTCAAACTACAAAAGATCCCCAAACTGCTGCGCTTCACCCGCCTGTTAAAGTACATGCGCCAATACGCGAAATACTACAAGTTTGTGCTCACGCTGTGCGTTATGGCCGTGAGTTTGCACTCGTTCTCGTACGTTCGTACTGACGTGTCGGAACAATGAAACAAAACGGGTGGCTGACACGCGCCATAGATGCATATGGGTATATGTGTACTTTTTATGCGACCACGACGATGCCTCAAACCCCAATTCCTTGTGCGATCTATCCACCCTCGAAGTACTGTACACTCGATGAAAGATCATCCCAAAAAATATATATTATTTATAGTAAATCTCATGTTCGCATGAATATTATGTCGTAGATAAGCCCAGTGTACCTGGAAGCCCTCACAAATGTTGTATTGCTGTACATGGGATTTGGCCAGCAGTCTACGTATCAATCGATTACGTCAGTGTTGGCGTCGCCCGATGTAAAAGCGTCCGAGGGCAGCTACCTCTTGAGGTACTGCTATACATATGCACATATATATATATAGTTTTTATGTCCAAGGGTACTAAGGCCTATATAGGTTTAAAATATATATTGTTTTAATACTGTATACACGCTCATTATAATTGTAGTTTGGGCATCATCTTTCTCGGCATGGCCACCATGTCTGTCATGATTGGCAACGTCATCTCCATCATCATCAGGTAATGCTAGTATTACTTACTATTATTGTACGTAGTGTTAGTAGTAGTTCTTCGTTAAATCATAGTAATAGTAGATAGTAACGCATATATATATATATACTAGTAAACACTGCAGGCCTGACGATCCGATGATTTATTTTCGACTAGTTGGGATCAACAAAGCGCGACGTTTCGGAATCGCATGGACGTGATTTCGGCGGAAATGCGCCATTACGACCTCCCCATGGACCTCCAGCGTCGCGTCCGCCGCAACTACGACTACCTTTGGCTCAATGTACGTATGCCAATAACAAGTCCATTGCTGCTGTCGTTGCTGCCACACTGCCCCCCTTCTCACCACCCCACACTTAGCAACGCGCGTACTCGGAAATGAGCATTCTGAATCAACCGGGGATCTCGCAGCCCACGCGCACCACTATCGCGCTGCACTTGTATCGCGACTTGATCGAATCGGTGCCGTACTTTGCAGGCGAAGACTCCAAGTTCCTCGGCCGTGTCTGCCTCGCACTCAAAACGGCCGTGTACTTGCCCGATGGTATGGTCCTTTCACCCAAAATGTGTGTACTTGTTCGGTCGATTCATAGTACTTACTACGTACGTAGTAGTACATGTATTGTTCATTTCACCCAAATATATTGGGCATGTGAATCATCCAATTTAAGCTTATACAAAGATTAGTATATATCGAATATGGATTTGAACTGGTTCGAATTGAACGTTTGGATTGGCAGAAACTCGACAGGACGTGATTTGATTGGCTTAGGTGGCTCTATATTCGACCGTGCCAGTTTCGAATGGATGACTTGTGTGCTGGCAAATTCGCCAAATCGATCGATTCTTTCTTTGTCTTAACGTTACTGAATATTGTATGTCAAAAGATCCAGTTTAGAATAAACACAGCATATACCCGTCTTCTACTGTCTGGAACCATCGCCCCCTCACCCCGACGGGTAGACACGATCATCCAGGAGGGTGACACGGGGCGAGAGATGTTCTTTGTTCGGCGGGGCTTGGTCAACGTCGAAGTCCCCACGGGCCCCCCGCACATTCAGCTCAAAGACGGCGACTTTTTTGGGGAAATGGCGCTGGTCGTAGACGTCCGACGCACCAACACTGTGCGTGCCGTGACTATTTGCGATCTGAATGTGCTCAGTAAAAACGTAAGCGCCACTTACTTTGTATATATATATATTTTTTCTCGACATGTGGTTTCGTAGGCATTTGACGACATTTTGGCCGAATTTCCAAACTTTTTCGACAAAATCAAACGCGTGGTGATCGAACGCCAACTCAACAACATGGTACACGGACAGATGGATGAAGGCGACTCGAGCATTTTAGTCACACCCCATGCAGTTGATATTTGTCAAAGATATATGTATTCAGTTGGGGACCACATAATATTCTTTGCCTCGATAGCACATTACGTCACCGAAAGACAAGGCCATTATCGAAGCCGAACTCAACGACGTCGTAAATGAAACCGCCAAACGGCGTAAGAACGACACGACGTCGCCGTACTGGCACGTCCTGAACGCGAAACGGGTCGGCAACAAGCTCAAGGACATCTCGGACAAGGTCCGTCTCGCCCAAGAGCGCAAGCCCCGTTTGTCCACGGTCATGTACCGGCCTCGGGGGCGACTCTCCCGGCCCAGCGCCGTGTCCAAGGGTTCCACCACGTCTAAGAGGTCGATTGCCAACCCCGCGTCGATTGGCCGCCTGCTCGAAACCATCGACGTGCCAATGGACGACCAGCGCCGTCAGATCGTGGACAACAACGGCATTCCAGACAAATCCCCGAAAACACACGACGAGGAATTGCTGCCCCCCACGGACAACTCGGTGAGCCGACGCAAAACCGTGCCCAAGGACCCCATGTCCAAGGGGTCGATTGCCAACCCCGCGTCGACTAGCCGCCTGCTCGAAGCCATCGACGTGCCCACGGACGACCAGCACCGTCAGATGGTGGACGCCGTCGTGCGCTTGACCAACGGCGTTCGAGACAAATCCGCGAAGACACATGACGAGGATGTGCTGCCCCCCACGGACAACGCGATGGGTTCGTCGACGCCAGATACCGAGTGCGGGCCCCCTGACACGTTGATCGAGCCCCCCAACGAGCTTTGCATGCTCGAGAGCTTGTCCAACCGGTTGGCGGTGATGGAAAAGTCGGTTTCGATGCTGCCCCAGTTTGTCAAGGCGTTCGAAGATGCCATAAAACATGTGGCCGTGGATGTGACGCGGTTGTTACAGCAACAACAACAGCAGGATCAACCCCCCCCCGAACCTCTAGTAGTAGACTCATGCTACGATGTAACGTGAACACTATGCCGTTAAAATTGGCTTCATAATCGTTCGTGGATTGAATCACCTCGTGGTGTGTGGGTGTAGTCATGCCCAGTCGTCGTTAGAATGGAAGCGCCATTGTTAAAAGTGCATTACGGACTGGCGAGCATCTGTTTTGCCCAAGGGCAATGTCGGTATCGTTACATACACCCTGCAAAAACTAACGATCCGTGGCAACAAGTGATAACATTTGAAACCGACTGTACAGTACATTGTACCACCCAAATGAAACGGCGAAACGACATTCCGAAACCGACAGCAACAAACTAGGCATGGAGCATGGTGGTGTTGGTGGGGGCAGCAGCATCAACCGCAAGCACCTTCCGCCGCTGCAGTGCACAAAATCGGAACACGTGGTCATGGACACCAGCTACGGGGGGGCTTTAGGGATGAGGCAGCAGCGCGACAGGTCCAGCAAGAACAACTCGTCCATGTCCCTACCGTCCATGCTGGAGGCCCCAATGGGCGTCGACGTCGAAGACACGCCGTCGCAGGAAACACACCATGCGACGCCGTCCGACATCGCCCCGCCCCACGCGTCCAATCGTGTGCTACCAGTGGGGTCGATAGTTCCTGGTGTGCACAACCCACTCACATCCGACCGCAATCTGAATGCGTACAATCTGTGGAAGCCCGGCATTGGCTCGTCTGGCAGTCTTCTCCGGCGCTTCATCTCGTTTGTGTGTGCGTACCATATATATATATAAAGTTCCACCGTCCGTCGTAACCTGCGTCGTGTAGTTTTGCAAACGTACCACGGAAACATTGACATTTACCACGAAGCGCCCAAAACGTTTCAATGGATGATTCACCCCAACTCCAACTTTCGCAAAGTGTGGGACACGATCATCGCCGTCATGGTGCTGTACGTGTGCTACCTCGTACGTTGAACCAATCGCGCGTTCGTTTTCAATCGTCCCTCGTCCTCATTCACCCTGAGCCCTATGATTCGATCGATCGTTCGAACTATATCATATGCACTTGGTGCATTGAACCATTCGTTCGTTCGTTCGTTCACATGGATGAAATGTCGTCCCTTCAACCCATCCTTCATCCGAGCGCTCATCCACCCGTTCGTGATATGACGTGTTGATGTCCTTTGTGTTGAGCATAGACGCCGCTGTACCTAGCGTTTGACTTTCTCGACTGGGAACCGCTATATCCCGTGGAAGCCACCATGAACGTGTGCTTCGTCATAGGTATAAGAGCCAAACAAACCACGATTGCAACCCCCCCCTCAGCTTCAATCCATCGTTTTAAGCATGTGTGTTTGTAGACATGGTATTGTCCTTTCGGACGGGTATTTTTGCATCGGGCGAAGTGCGCATGGACGCCAAATTCGTGGCCAAGCACTACCTGCAGTCGTGGTTCCTCATCGACCTGCTTTCCAACGTCCCGTTCGACAAAGTGTTTTCCGATAGCTCCATGAACAAGCAAAACTCGACGGTGAAATTTGTCAAGTTGGAAAAATTGCCCAAGTTGCTTCGGTTTGGCATTTTGCTCAAGTATTTGCGCCAATACGCCAAGTACTACAACTTGCTCTTGACCACGTCGGCCATGGTGCTGTGTCTGCACTGCTTTGCGTACGACTCCTAAGATTTTACTGCGTATTCTGTTTATATTTTTACCCGTCTATTTCCTAGGTGCGTTTGGGTATACGAATTCAACGAATGTGATGCCCTGCCATGCCCCACAGATGCCGTACGTTTATGATGGTTTTTCAAATCTGACGTTAGATGCGATCTTAGGCATTTAGCATGTACAGCCAGAGCTACTACAACGTGTTACTGCTATTCTTGGGGATTGCTGAAGGATCAACCTTTCAATCGTCCGAGTATTTAAGCTGCCCTACTCGCACAGCCAAGCCATCGATGTATGGCCTCTGGTACGACCCGCACCCCCCACAGAGTCAGTCACGGGAGGCCTGACTATCGTGGATAGTATTGCCATTGCCATGATTGGCGCGCTCACATGTGCGTTTATGTTTGGCAATATATTGACGCTGCTGCTCAGGTAAATAGATGTCACTGATATGATTACAAGAATGATACCTGTCGTACAAATATTATATATATATATATATTCATGCCACGGGTTGTAGTTGGGACCAGCAAAGCTCGAGCTTTCGAAACCGCATGGATGTCATCTCGTCCGAAATGAAATACTACGAATTGCCCGCGGAACTGCAGGTTCGTGGATAAAAGTCTTTTCGTTTTTTGCATTTTTTTTCGAGTGTAAATAATATTTTTTTGTGTGATCGAGTGTAAATCCCAAATAATATATATATATTCTGACCAATATTTGGTTAGCATCGAGTAAAGCGCAATTACGACTACTTGTGGATCAACCAACGAGCGTATGCCGACATGACGCTCCTCAACCAGCCAGGACTGTCCAAACCATTGCGTACCACGATTGCACTCCACTTGTGCGTTTGAAGATATATATGATATATATTTCTCTTCATGTATAAATATAATATATAATTCTGTCCGATATGTAGATACAAGGACTTGCTCAACACAGTGCCGATATTTGCCGGGTCCGACTCCAAGTTTCTTGGAAAAGTATGCATGGCGTTGGACACGGCCGTGTACCTTCCTGGAGGTATAACCCCCCTCGTTTCCATCGCAACTTGAAACCGTATCTCATGCCGTCTGTCGTGTGAACCATATCTCATATACTGTCTGTCTGTGATGATGTCCAGACACAATCATACACAAAGACGACATTGGCCGAGAGATGTTTATCGTCCGGAAAGGCCAAGTCGAAGTGCTTACTGCGGGCAGCGACTTGTCCCAGGAGCAGCCCCCCATCCGCTTGTCGTCGTCGTTGTCCGTCCGGCTCTCGCCGATTCCGCACCTGCGCATCATTTTAAAAGACGGCGACTTTTTCGGGGAAACGGCGCTCGTCGCAGAAGTCCGCCGCACCAACACTGTGGTTGCGATTACTATTTGCGACTTGAACATGCTGAGCAAACAGGTCGGCGTGATGGTCTATCCGTGCAATTATTACTTCGTCTAACATGGCTTTTGATGCCGATATATATATATATATATATGGCGGCATGTATAGAAGTAACTATATTGATGTATATATATATATATCTAGGCATTCAACGAAATCTTGGCGGAGTACCCCGAGTTTGGCTCAAAGATGCAACAATCGGTCGTATCCCGTCAGTTGGCAAACATGGTATATATATACATCTATTCCGTGTTAGAATGTACATACATATATATCAATTGGAATATGTGTTCATGAACAGAATATTCGGTCGCCGACGACCAAAAGGAAAGTGGAGAACCAACTCAACCACTTGGTGGAAAAGTCAATGCAGCGGCGGCAGCTGAGCAGCACGTGGAAGGGCGTGTACAAGGCAAAAAAGATGGCAGATAAGCTCAAGAACATCCAAGACAGGGCCAAAAAGACAGACGAGGACCCGGGGTCAACGCGAACGTCGTTCATCTCGACCTTCCTGGGCAAAGTTCGGAGCAAGGGCGAGTTGCTGGAGTTGCTTCCCCGAAGCAGCGGACGAAGGACCTTGACGTCGCGAAGCATGCGGCGGGAGTCGAATACGAAGCCAACGGACGCAGACGACGACCAGACAAAGCCCGTCGATGGAGAGGGGGCGGGGGACGACACCCCCGCCGACCCTGACTCATCTTGTTCGACGGAATTGCCGCCGCGGAAGCGCAAGATGGCGGCGGGGGACCTCGTGAGCCGTCGGCTGAATGCCACGGAAATCCAAGCCAACTTTGTGCCACTTGCGCTCTGGGAAATCAACACCATGGTCATGGACATCAAAGTAGCGTTGGAAAAAGTGCAAAAGAAGCTCGCGGTGACCAACGCGGACAGCGACAGCGACGACGACGCCGCCGCCACCGTGCCGGCCCTGACAAACCCGACCGACAAGAGCGGCGGCGAGTCTACCCGAACCAAGGGAGCGGCTGCCGTCGAGATGCCCGGGGAGGACCAACTCCTCCTCCAACAGCAAGCCAAGTTAGAGCTACTGACTCGCGCCGCCTTGTTGTCCAATATGAGTGAGAAGTCGATTCCAATGCAAGGACCAAGTCACACGATGTTGTCGAGGTGAATCGATGCCCCAAATCCAACGAGAGCCCAAGGGAAGGCCAAAGACCCATCATCTGACGCCGCCTCGTTAAAGCAAGCGCCAAAGCAAACCAACATACTGTAACCACCCACTCACGGGGTTGTTTAATGTGTTTGTGTTTACAGCCTATCATCTTATTCATCGGTCGTGGGAGTTGGTTGGTACGACGACAAGACAGTCGTGAGAATCGCTTGGATGTCCACTGCTGCCTGCGTATCGCGCGACTTTTTGCCGAGGTTGCCCAGCACAGTGTCGTTGAGTTGGGTCTTCCGGCACGCAATGTCATAGATGGATTTGTCCACAGAGTCTTCAGTGACCAGCTTGTACACGGTCACGGGCTTGGTTTGGCCAATGCGGTGACACCGGTCCATCGCTTGGGCGTCGACAGTCGGGTTAAAGTCCAAGTCATGCAAGATCACCGTGTCCGCGGCGGTCAGGTTGATGCCCATGCCGCCGGCGCGGGTACTCAGGAGGAAGCAGAAGATGGATGGGTCGTCGTTGAAGTCGTCGATGAGGGACTGCCGCGATTCGATACTCGTGCTCCCGTCCAAGCGCGTGTACCGGTGGTTCGAGTGCACGAGGAATGTTTCCAGCAAGTCGAGCATCTTGGTCCATTGGGAAAAAATGAGCACGCGGTGATGTTCTCGCTTGAGTCGGGGCAGCAACTCACGCAACAGGTCAAACTTGCCCGAATCGAGCAGCTTGTCGGACGATAGTTGGAGCGACCTCATTTCAGGCTGGTGCGCGTACTCGACGCACAAGTTGTGCAGTTCAAAATCCGAGTACCCCTCGATTTCGCTCTTGACCATGGCCAACGAGCACTCTGTCCCAAACTCGCCGAGTTTGTACAGTTGCCGGGCAATCGTATCCATCACTTGGGAGGATTCGTAGTGTTGTCGAAGCAGCACGGGGTGGTTCGCGGCCTTTCGAAGCAAAGTAAACACATTGTTGTCGGACGTGGGGTCGTTCTTGCCCTTGCCGACAACGACCGTCGATTGCGCTTGACCCCCCATGAGCAGCTTCAATTCCCGAGAGGGTTTGGTCGTCGATCCGTTGGACTCGGACGACGGAGATGACGATGCAGGCGCACCGCCCCCCTTCTTGGCCTCCCTCCGCAACAACGTGGCGTCGATCACGTTTTTGTACACTGCGACTTGATGGGGGTTCATCTTGACGTGCAGGACGACCTCGGTCTTCGGGACCATTTGCGCGAGCACCAGCTTTTTGAGCCGGCGCAAAATGAACGGGGCCAAAATGCGCCGAATCTTGGAGCACGACGTCTTTTCTTCGCCGCCAAAAAAGTCCATGAGTTCATCCGACCCGTGGTTGAAGATGGTGGGCATGAGAAAACTTAGCAGCGCCAGCAGTTCGCTCAAGTTGTTTTGGATGGGCGTCCCGCTCAGCACCAATCGGTTGCGGGTTTTCAACGCCGAGATGCGCTTGAATCGCGACGTGTTGGCGTTCTTGATCGTGTGGCCTTCGTCCAAGACCAAGTACCCATAGTTAAAACTCCGTAGGAACTTGCGGTCGTCCGCGGCGCTGTCGCGCTCAAAGTACGTGTACGTGGTCAGCAGGATGTCAAACGTGCCAGGCTGCAACTCGTCCATGATCTCCTGGCGTTCCGAAATTGAGCCATGGAACGTGCGCACTCGCAAAGATGGGGCGAACCGCCCGATTTCGCGCTTCCAGTTGCTCAAGACAGATGACGGAACGATAACCAAGTGCGGCTGCTTCATCTGCGAACACACGATCGCGAGAAACGAAATCGTTTGCACGGTTTTCCCCAGCCCCATTTCGTCCGCCAGCACGGCCGACACCTTGTGTTGATAGAGGAGGTACAGCCAATTGACGCCCACGAGTTGGTACGGCTGCAGGACCAGCGACGGGCTCAGGCCGGGGATTTCGCCTTGGGTGAGCATGCGGTGGTCTGCGTCGTTGATCGTGGTCAGCGTCACTTGTTCGTCCGTGTTGGACTGGCCCCACTTGGCAATCGATACGCGCAGCGTGCTTGCGATGGCCTCGCACGACTGGAGCATGCCCGCGACTTCGTCTTGCTTGGAGCGTTTCGTGTTGCGGCGCTTTCCGTAGCTATCTCCGTCATCGGAATCGTCGACGCCGTCGGACTGGTCGTCGTCGTCCGAGAGAACCTCCTCCCGATTCGCATTGCGGGCATTGCGGGCGATTGTGGCTTTGGATTGCGCGGGTTTCTTTACAGGACGCTGCATCTTGCGCTGCATCCAGTCGTCCGTACTCGCTTTGACAGCCTTTTTGGACATGATCCATCCATTCGACTTTTCTTGGTTCTCGCGGTTGAATTGGTTCATCCAGCCAAACGGCGACGGCTTCTTGGGCTCCTTTAGCAAGTACACGTCGTCCTCGTCGATCGATTCAACGCCTCCTTGGCTCGATTGCGGCTCGTCGTCGTCCAACACGACCACGGTGCTTCGACCTGTCTTGAGTCGTTTTCGAGGGGCAACCACGTCGTCGTCGTCGTCGTCGCTGGAATCGTCGAGGATGCTCAACACGGTTTCGTTGGTCGTGTTCGCCGCTTTGCTTATACCTCCATCGCTACTCGTCGCGTCTTCGTCTGCAAGATCGATAGGAATGACCTTGTCGGGCAACGTGACCACGCGATCCAGAGCTCGTGGTGGTGGTGCTACTAGTACGAGGTCATGAATGTCGCCATACAACAAGGACCCAGTACTGGTACCTTTGATAGTTGGCGTCGATACAGCTTTGGCCGTCGTGATGGATGCCTTGGACATATCGACCGGTGCTTTTTTGGTGGCAGCGACGAAGGAAGGGGCGGAAGGTGCTGACGTCGCGTCAAACACTTGGTATTTGGACAAAGTTCCGTTGGCGAAAAACACGTCCAGGAGCAAAAGTTCCGTCGTCATGCCGGACTTGATGACCTCTTGATGCGCATTGCCTGTACTTGTCTTGCGCGTCACGATGATACTGCTTTGCCCGCGGCATCGCAGTGTGATCTTGTCGTTTGGTAGTCGCCGCACCACAGCTCGGCCTCCGCAGACAGGGTACTACATTCACCATCATCATACATCGTCTGGAGTGCACACACAAGCATCCCCACTCCACGCACCTCTGCATTCTGGAAGGATACCACTTTGCCTCCCATGAGCTCCTTGATTGCCAACAACATGATCCTGCTGCGTGCCCTTTCTTCGACTCCCGCCAATCCTGTAAATACATGGTTGTTTCATCGCGCCTAATTGAACGTTGAATTCGGGATTTAATTTTAAATGCATTTTATGCAATTTAAAAAGGACGAGTATAATAAATAATTAAAACGTAGACATAGTATTTCGAATATACGTTGCAACCACGAGATCTGCAAAAAACGAAGTGAAGGTTTTTTAAATACTCCAGTTTTGTCATATTGGAGATTCAACCATTTTGGCGCGGACAGCTAATTAGATCTATTTAGGACTGTAGTCCTAATTTAACCATGCCTCTCCCAACAAATTCCAAATGAACATGACTTCGTTCAAAGAGTTGATCGAGGATGGCCAAGATGCGTTGACCAACCTGCGCAACTTGACGCTAAACGATGGACCGCCGGCGATGACGACCACAGTAGACGATGCCTCCATGCTTCGCACTTATACAGCCTCCCTCGAGCGGAAACTGTTGGAGCTACTGCAGGAAAAGGAAAGGGACGCTGCTGTGTGCAAGGCGAGTGCCGAGTGTACATTTGCCAAGAACAACGCAGGACGGGTGCTAGTCGCCATCTTTGATCACGTCATGAGCGCCAAGGTGGAGGCATTGAAGACATGGTGGGAGACTGGGAGTATTCAAACACGCAGTGGACCGGGACACTGGCGGTTGGATCCCCGCACGTTGCGCGACAAACGAGGGTGCGATCTATCCTTGTGAACATCATGTGTCTCATTCGTTCATACAGGTACAACCTGTTGCACGTGACGGTGGATCGCAACTTAGCCAAAGAAAGTGCCAAGGTGGCGCAGATCGAGTTGCTCGTGAATACCATGGGGTTTGATGTGAATTCCACCGACTTGGTCGAGTCCCCGCCATTCGATTACATCGTTCGTCGCTGACCACAATCTTTATAGGTGGGTCGAACAAGTTTGCATCATGCGGCCATCAATGGTTACGAGGAGGTTGGCGGCGATGTTACTAGATTTCATCTGAGGATGCATACATGCCGTGCGTAGGCGGTCAAGTGCTTGCTGGCCAAGACTTCATGCAACCCTCTTTGGCGAGACAAAGCTGGCATGACGGCCCTTTCCGCCGTGCAACAGATCACAGGCGCGTCGGAAACCATGATCCAAGCTCTCCTAGCCGCCGAGAAGCGAGAAAATGGTATTTCCGTACGATGTCCTTTTACCCAAAATATTTGGTTGACTGATGTGCTGATTTTTTGCGAAATCTCGATGATTCTTTGTCCTGACTTTTGTATGTAAAGATCGTTCAGTATCACACTATTTTCAAACACACACTAATTCGGATTGAATTGGTCCAAGAGTGAATTTGATTGGCCACTAGACTAGTGTTCTGGGTTTTGATTGGTCGATTGTCTGTCGATTTGGGTATTCTGGTCATACTACTCTACTCCAATTTCGAATCGACTTGACAATATATGTACTCGTCAATAGATGCACAAGCTAGCGTGCCGTCGGCCTGGAGGACGCATGGGGTACGTACGTACGCCCTGCCGGATCAACGAGAAGAGCTGCTGCTGCTGCTGCTGGGTGTAGATTTGATCCGTCGTCGCTGGCATAGGAAGCGTGGACGTCGTTACATTGCATCATGCGGTTGGAGCGTTATGTCGATCGCGGACACGAGCGGCGCTTTCAGCAATGCACTGCCAAGCTACGACATGCCATGGACTCGTGTACGTTGGCTCGAATTTTTAACTGCGGCCAAGGGCAATTTAAATGAAATTCATCTATTCATTTATTCAAATAGATTCATCTACTCAACACGTTCCGTTTGATGCGATGATTCGGGAGAGTGGGTTGTTGGAGATGCTGGACGCTGCAATCGATGACTCGACCATCGAACATGACGAGTATAAAGCACTGGTGACCATCGAAGCCAGTGGATTCTCCATCTACGCGCCTGTGGACCAAGTCACGTATCCGCACGGCAGCTGGGTGAATTGGCTCCAAAGAAGTTTGTTGCGGCGACAGGTATTGTGTTTCTTTTACCCAAATTTTGGTTGGCTTTTATGCTGATATTCGCCAAATCGATCGATCGATCGATTCTTTGTACTGACTTTTGTATATACTATTCGTCCAGTGTCACACTAATTTAAGTCACACACTAATTCGATGTTGAATTCGTCGAAGAGTGGATTCGATTGGCTACTTGGTTAGTGATCTGGGTTTTGATTGGTCAATATATCGATTGTCTGCCTATTTGATGCTGGTCATGCGATTGAGCACCAACCACTCCACTTGTAGCCACATTTGGACTTTTGATTTGCCCATTCCATCAAGGTTGTGCCCTGAATTTCGTATTTATATCAAATGTATACCCCTATCACACTAATTAAAGTTACACTCTAATTCGTCGTGGCTAAAATCATTCCTGCAATCTGATTGGCTCAAATTTTCTGCACATTGTGTCGATACATTGTTCACTGTCAGCAGTTTTGAAGAAACACACAAACCAAGTCAACGATGTCCTGTTGAGGCTATATTTGGACGACCTATGCTAATTGTACGACCACCTATGGATGTCCGTGAAATGTCATATAAACAACATTAGAGGGCAAGCACTGGAGAAAGATACACGTGGTATTACGCAGCGCTGTTCCAAGCTCAAATGCATGAGCTCCCGGGGGTTTTGGATGTGCAGCAAGGACGCGCGTCGGTCGAGTATTCGTCGGAATTTGCAGTATGCTTGCCACTTGTAAACCCCATATTCATCCAAGGGCAGTCATATTGGGCCATCACGGAACAAGACACGTCACTACCAAACACATTGGCCCTTGGTATTGCCTTTCTTTTACCCAAAATATTTGGTTGACTTTTGTGCGGATTCTTTGCCAAATCTATCGATCGATACTCTATCGTCCAATGTCACACTAATTTCAGTCACACACGAATTCAGTGTTGAATCATTGAAGAGTGGATTTGATTGGCCACTTGATGAGTGTTGTGGGTTTTGATTGGTCGATCTTTGATTGTGTGCCGATTTGGTGACTCTGCTCATACTCGATTGAGCACCCAAATACTCGAATTTCGAATATATCGACTTGAACAATGTACTCTCTCGATCAACGTTTGTTTCAATTTTCCCTATTTTTTGGTGCGACTACTATAGATCGACCCTTTGAAGGCAAGACGGCTCGATCTGTCAAGGGATTGATTTGCATGGAAGCGTCCGTGAATCCTCCGTATATAGGAGTGCTGGAACTACAAGAGCGCGCACCTGGCAACAAATTCGACACCACCAGCTCGGAAGATGTACAAAGGATAGATGGACGCCAACCGGACGAGTTTTCTTATCCGGAAATTTGACTAGGAAATGGTCCAGGACTACCAGCGGCTAGCCCCAGACCACTCGTACGAGATTGGCATCAAGATCGGGCCAGCCGCGACTAGACAAGCCGCGTCGGACCTGGCCAAAGCATGGAGCCACGAGTGCAAGACGTTGTTTCGTCGACGCCAGTAAGTACGAGGCCTTGATTGAAGAATATTTCATCTATTTTAAAATAAATGAACGGGGATGTAGATGCATCTCGGGCGCCGCGTGTTGTGCGTACTCGTGTCCGCAACGAGTAGGCCAGTATTTGGTACATCATATTGCATGTCTAATTTGAGGAATTGAAGATGACAAGTGTGAATTCGTGTGTAGTGCCGACAAAGTGCCGAAAAGGTTGGGCTCGACCTCGCGCTACAGACATTTGGCCGGTCGACGTATTCCAAGGCATGTGCTACTTACTCTTCCACATAGTATATATTGTCTTTCTTTTACCAAAAATTTGGACTTTTGTGCAGATTCGCCAAATCTCTCGATCGATTCTACTGACTTTTGTATGTAAAGATCGTCCAGTTTCACACTAATATTTGTCACACACTAATTCGATGTTGAATTGGTCCAAAAGTGGATTTGATTGGCTAGTTGATTCATGTTTTGTATTTTGATTGGTCGATCTTTGATTGTCTGCCGATTTGGTGACTCTGCTCATTCGATTGAGCACTCCAATTTCGAATCGACTTAGACGATATATATATATATGGTTCATAACGAAGGATGGGACGCGTATATAGACGGTCATGCCTCGGGTTACATTGCAGCGAACGCAAGACAAGTACAAAGGACAGATGGAGGCGTGGCCAGGGTGCAAGCAATCCCCGGCAGAATGGCCGCAGTAGTTAGTCGCTGCGTTTCCAGCGCATACTTTATACAATATGTATGTAGATAAACATGCTTTTGACAGTGAATCGTGAAATCGCCCTCGTTATTCATGCTCTCGACCTCGAATACGCCGCGCCAATTGAATGTCCTTGACCATGAGCGTTACCCGCTTGGCATGGATCGAGCACAATGTCCTACAAGTATGTATGGGATAGAACATCGTGTACAATGCGAGATCGTGGTGGTGGTTTCACGTACGCGTCTTCAAATATCCGAATCAAGTGCGCTTCCGCGGCTTCCTGCAGCGCCAACAAGGCGGAGCTTTGCCACCGGAATTGGTGTCCTGAAAAGTTCATTTGAATCTCGCGAACCAACCGCGCGAATGGAAGCTTGCGCAATAGCAGCTCCGTCGACTTTTGATAGCGCCGAATTTCCAACAGCGCCTTGTTCCCCGGTTTGTACCGTCGTTTCACAACTGGCGTTCCGGACTGGGTCGACCCGGCACTCGAGGGTGTAGATTGGCGCCTCGCAGACGGCACTGGTGTGGATGGCGCTTGTCTCTTCGTGGGATTTGGTTGCTTGACTCTTCCCTTTCCCTTCCCTGATGGTGATGGAGTGCTCATCGTCGACCGTACTACGCGCGCGGCAGGCCGTCTGTCGATTGAATGGCAATTCAAAAGGAGCAACCAGCCAATACTTGCAATACATAATACGCAAAGTACATCAAAATGTGTAGGTTATCCGTTTATACGGGTAGGTTTTATGAGTATCGTTGAGTAAAGGATATGATTTGTTGCAGTGTAAACTCCGGTATATAGCCAATCAAAACCACGCATTTGAGGGGTTGACCAAATACAAAATGAGTCATCTAACAGAACAATCGAAGTCATCTAATAAATCATTCATTTATCTACAATACTCACAACCAAGATTGATTTGCATTAGATCCACGAAACGGATCGAACGGTCACGCGATGGCCGACACGCTGGAGATTGACGAAGGTTGCTATTCGGACGAAGACTTTGACGAAGAGAGCCTGCAAGACGACGCCGATGTAAGCGGCGACGATGGAATCTGTCGTTGCCTAAGTCCTTTCATAGGTGAAACCACTGATGTCGCCGTCGTCAAAAATGGTGCAGACGCCAGCCACTAACTACTTACTCTCCATCCATCGTCAGTTCCCCATTCATGTTAGGTCCCTTTGGACACTAAAGGAAAGCCATCGCTCAAAGGGTAAGGAAATAGCAACGTACGGTCAGCTCGTCATGATCAGAAACGCATTCCATTAGGGGGTCGTCACCGCCGCGACGCGGGACTGACTCGGGCAAACTGGCCGTTCTCACAAACCCTCGATCCCCTCGGGAGCTATCCATCGATGCCTCCGCCATGCCAAAAGTCAAGCAATGTTTCACGAGTCGTTCCAACTTTCCACAAGTAATGACCAAGCCATCGTCTCCCTCGACGTCGCCGTCCAAAAAGCTGCCGCCTCCCCCCGAAAGGTACAACGCCTTGCACGGGGGACCAGTACGTACACTTTTCTCGGTCGTTAAATTCCACTATAAAAACTATAACATGACCTTAGATTGACCCGAGCTCGCGTGTATTTATGCCTGTCAAAGGCGAAGCCAAGCATTGTACGGCTCGCAGAATAATTCGTATCCTAGCCAAGTTTACAATACATAAATACTCCAAATATGCTCGTCGTAGTGCCTATACCTGACAAGCGCGACACGCCGCCACATGACAAGAAGTTCAAGCACATTCCTAAATCTATTAGCCACACGACGCTGACAAACCCGAGATTGCCGGTGCAGTAGTACATAGTTGTACCTACGTTTCTAGTGGAATCAACAAGTTGATGTTGATGCACATACATACATGAGGCAGGTGGAAGAAGAAGCCAAACCCCACGTGCCCCACAAGGTCAAGAGCGTGCAGAGCTTGGCCCATGAAATCCGTCGGTTGCGATCTCGCACGCAAAACGTGGCCGACGACGACAGCAAGGCGACACCGGATGCCAAGGAGCGACAGGTGGCGGCAGCAGCCCCTCCCCTGTCGCCGTCGTCGTCGAAGCGGGGCCTGAGGTACGTCCTTCCCCCCCTTCGAAACACCGTCAAGGATGCTGATATGGTAGCCGGTCCAACTTCAATTTGCACTTGGACACGTCACCCAAGCCGCCAAAGGTCCTCGAGCTGCAACTCCCCGACAGCCCCAAGCTGACCAGCACGGGCAAGAAGAAGGGCATCCAGCGCAACAACTTTTCGCTCGGGGCGTTGAATCTCGAGCTCGATTTGGACTTGGACGAATCCTCGTCGCTCCACGACAAGTCGTATGACCTGTCTGCGTCCGGCACGTTCGACGCCGAGTCGTTCCAAATCAAGCAAACCGGCATCACGCGGTCCCCCGGGCGGTCCCCCACGCAGCCCCACGACATGAAAAAACACTTGATCAAGCTCGGAGTGCTGGGCAAAGGTACAGTTGTCCACATCTTCTTCACGGGTTACGATAACGACGACCTTAGGCGCGAGCGGGGTCGTACACAAGGCGCTGCATGTGCCGTCACTGCTTCTCGTGGCCGTCAAAGTGATTCCCGTGTTTGAAAACGACAAGCGACACCAGTTGATTGCCGAAATGAAGACGCTGTACAACAACCTGGCGTCGCTTTCGGGTGGGTTGTTATTGAGTACTACTGTAGTCGTCGTCAGGATCATTGCACTGTGTTTTACGGATGGTATGATTCTCCTCTTACCCCAAATTTGGACTTTTGTGCTGATTCGCCAAATCTGTCGATCGATTGTTTGTATTGACTTTTGTATGTAAAAAAATAGCTGTCCTGTGGTGATTTGTATCACACTAATTAAAGTCCCACACTAATTCGATGTTGAATTGGTCAAAGAGTGGATTTGATTGGCTACTTGATTCTTGATGATCTCGGTTTTGATTGGCCAGTCGATTGCATGTCGATTTGGTGCTGCTCGTTCGATTGAGCACCCCACTCGAATCGACTTGACTATATTGTTCAGTGTATCCTTGTAAGGATCCATTGTTATGGATTATACTAACGTTACGATTGCCATGCCCAGATTATTCGACTTTGGATCTGTTTGTACTGAAGTTTGCATGTAAAATTTGTGACGACATTCACGCTATTGGATTCATCCCCCCGCTCGATGGTTGCAGGAGTTTTTTGATTGGCCACTTGAAAATGTTCTAGATTTTGATTGGTCAATCGATTGCATGTCGATTTGGTGCTGCTCGTACGCCCAATATCCATTTTTTAGGGTGAAAGCACAAGATTGCACAGTGTATATAATACAATATATTATGGATAGACGACGCCGAGAGACGCAAGGTTGCGTGCCCTGAAATTGTGTGCTTATACGATGCGTTTATGAACCCCAACGAAGGCAACGTGTCGATCGTGGTTGAGTACATGGACGGAGGCAGTCTCCAGGACATTGTCGACACGGGGGGCTGTACGTCAGAGCCCGTGTTGGCGAATATTTCATACCGTGTGTTGAAGGTCGATTCTATATCTAATAATATTCTTAATAGTTTGGTTGATATCTATATATGTACCAGGGACTGCGGTACCTCCACGAGATCCATCAACTCCACCGAGATATCAAACCGAGCAATCTATTGATCAACCATTTCGGCGACGTCAAGGTGGGCACCACAATAGACCTACATAGATACTTGAGTGTATAGCATTCTATGATGACATGCTATTCCATATTTTGTTAAATCAATACAATAATAATAGCCTTCCTATGGGAATGTAGGTGTCGGACTTTGGAATTGCAAAAGAAATGGAAAACTCCATAGCCAAGGCCACGACATTTGTCGGCACGTTGACGTACATGTCCCCGGAACGCATTGCCAGTGAAGTATTGTGCATTTCACCCAAATTTGGACTTGCGAGTCATTTGATCCTATTTAATCTTGTACACACTATACTATACAATGATTAATATATATGTGGTTTTGCTCATTGCGGAGGGATCATGCGTTTGGATTGGCAGAAATTTGACATAACGTGATTTGATTGGCTCAGGCGGTTCTTTAATGGATAATCCTAAGACATTCGATTCTGCTGAGGGCTCCAGTTTCGAATCAGAATCATTACCCCATTAATATTGGACGAGAATGCTTGATCTTGTAACGTTATAGGCGTATTCGTACAAGTCGGACGTGTGGTCGTTTGGGCTGTCCATTATGACTTGTGCACTGGGTCATTACCCGTATACGTCCAAGGGAGGGTACTGGGAACTCTTGCACAGTATTCGCAACGAACAAGTACGTTTGTGTGTGTGTCTTGCTACTGCGCTCAAAAGTGACACCGTTCTGCGTGTCTAGCCGCCAAAGTTGCCTCTGGGCACGGACTTTTCCCCGGACTTTCAGGACTTTTTGGCCAAGGCACGGGATTCTACAACTTGTGACATGGGGCTAACTAATGGACTAAATATATCATCTATCTATTTAGTGCTTGATCAAAGATCAAAATGAGAGGTGGAGCGTCAAGGAGCTGCTCGAACACGATTTCCTCCGCGAGTGCCGACGTGAGACATCGTTTGGGCACGACCACAGCGGCGGGTCGTCCAAAGCACTTGATGACGACTCAGAGGTCGACAGCTTTGAAGTGGACGTGATCATTCCGAAGGTGATGGACTACTACCTGAAGAGCGCCAAGGATCTCGTGCTCGAGCACGACTACAACTACGACGACATTGTCGCGTGGCTTAAACTGTTGCCGCCCATGCAACATAGGTGTGTATGTACAGCGACATTGGTGTACATTGCACGTTGTGGCTAATCTCGATTACAACTTTTGAATTACGTCGATCACATAGCAAGCTGAACCGGTTTGCCGATCAAATTGGCATGCCCAGGCCCGTCGTGTACAAGAAATTCGAGCACGCGATGAACATCTTGGCCGGCAACATCAAGGACGTGTACTTTGATGACGATGATGAGGAGAAATCTTAACATTTGAATCATAACCACTCTTCTGTTTACTAGATACTGCTGGTAACATTATTAATAGTATGAAGTACTACGTAAACTACGTACATTGTAGTACTCCAGTAGTACTTCTGTTTTGAAAAATAGATAGTTATTATATTGTCGATTTTCTTCAAATTTCCCAATTTTGCATGGTTCGTTCAATCGAGCTCAAATAGAGCCGAGACATCTGATTGGCCATTATCCACTTCGCCCTTTCCAGTAGAAACTCGAAAATGGATTGTAGCCAATCAGGGATAAGTAACTTAGGATTGACCAATGGGAGAGATTGTTGCTCGATTTGATTCTCCAATATTATATACTAGTATATATATATTCGGAGTACAGGAGGCTACGTCAGTGATTGGGTTGCTTGCCTTTTAAGATTGGGCCAATCCAAATACGGTTCAAATAGCAGCGTTCGTGGAAAATCACTTTCCATAGATTTGTTTTTATTTTCAAGCGCGCTGATTGGTTGGAACGTATAACTACGCCAATGAAATGCGTTCATTTATGACTGTATGTTGAAGTTGCACTATTGTCAACGTAACAACACTTCAAGATACAACGGTCGCCAGGCTGCGCTCTGGAAGCTGCCACAATCCAATTTTCCTCGCACAATCAGCATCACCATGAGCACTGTTGACAATGACTCGATGAACTCCCGCTTGACGGAAGACGACTGTGCCACCCTTTTCAAGACGTACACCAACAAGGACAACCTTCCCAACTTTTGCAAGACTCTTCTCGATCGAAAGAACAGCGGCGTCTATGGAGTTGCTGAAAACCACAATCTGAACGTCAAGGGCGGCCATCGCTACAAGAATGGCCAGAGTCATGCGTCGTTGCAACGACGATTCACTGGCCCCATGTCGGGGTATGGCGTCGCGCATTGAAGGAGACTTCTGCTGCTCAAGGCATACATGCATACTTGCGTTTTTCGTTCCCGCGTGTCTAAATAATAGTAAAGACAATTGATGACGTTTGCTTACTACCTATGCTCAAGTGTCGACGTCCTCATCTGCAAAGGGAGTTGATGTTTACATGAGCGTTGTCCACCGATGCAAATTCTTGGGAACGTCATAGGTACTATACCCTGGGTGCAGGGTTTTCACTCGTGCTGCGGTACTTTACAGTTAAACCCACAATGTGTTCCCCGAGTAAAATTGTCGACGTTTCATCTCACTTTGATCGTGTTTTCTGCTTCCACATGATTGGCCAACCAACCCCCCGGCCGTATTCACTATAGCGACAAAACAGTCCATGGTCCGCGAACCCAGCGGGGCAGATCGAGTGGCAGTCGAGGCCTACGCGGGCCGTGCCCACTGGACACTTGTCGTAGCACAGAAGACCTAGGCGTTCTTCTCCGGCGGCGCACGATTCCGGCACACGGCCAACACCGCGTGTTTGCGTTGCCTTCCAGCAAAAAATTGTGGCCGCTTGGGGCTGGTGGTCGTCGGTTTGGTTCGCGGTCCCACTGGCCATGGCGGCAAACGCGGTGAGGAAAGCAAGAATGTTGGCCATCAGGTCAAAGCGAGGTAAATGGCAAAGTGACGTCTTCAGTTGGACGACGCGCACTTCCAGTTTCATGTCAAAAGATATTCCGGCACTTGTCGTACCTGAAAGGGGTGTCCCACCCAACTTTGAGGCCTTGGTCGAAGAGTCTTGCCGACGCATACAGGCTCGGAGCAGACTCTAACCAGGTGGCAAAATATTCTCATCCCGTTCGGTTTTGCAACATTTGTACCCACTACTACAATTACTACTTCGAAGTACTTAATAGTACTATTATAGT